CGTGTGAAGTGGGTAAGTCAGTCTAAGGTTGTGAAACTCCGTCGATTGAAATGATTATCTGACACAATTGTTAACCGTGCCAAACCACAGTTGATATGGTTATGAACAATAAATTGTGTTCGAAACGTCATTCAGTATATAATACTGTTTCACTGTGTGATACATCTATCAAAAAAACTAATATGGAATTAATTACTGAAACAGTGCCCAAGTTTCACACATATACAAACCATTTTCCTGTTGGAGAAGTGTTAGATAACTTAAGATGAGGTTTCGGAAAAGAGTCAGGGGTGGTTGAATCGAAGCCTGGCATTAGTTCATGAGGTTTTTATCAGTTATCTTCAGCCGCCTAAGATGTCTAATTCCTTAATATAGCCGTCGATACGTTAAGAACCAATGGCTAGAAGCTATTGGTGACCCGGCACAAAGTCGTTCTCTGTCTGTCTGTCTGGATTCAACATAGAACTTGGCACCGAAGTGCAGCAGTTCGAGTTGCCACGTTCCAAATAGCACACAAAGGTAGACAAGAAGATGAGTGAAGAGAATCAATAGAGTTTGACAAGTATAAGAGTGAAACAGAATGGGTAATGGTAGAAAGGAATATGAAAGATTACAGAGACTGAATACATCTGCGCCATTGACAACGATTTTGAGCCATGTCACCTATTGTCTCCAGCCATTGATTCCTAGAGTCCCGAGGGCCCCAACCCGGAGTCTGCATCTCCCTACCTGACTCAGTTTAACTGTCAAGGATTTCATGGATTGATGAGGCCATGTTTTTGTTTGGCCACCACTGGCTCTTTTCCAACCTGCACCTATATCAGCTAGTAATGCCCGTCGGGGGAGGCGGTGGTTAGGCATGCGCACCACGTGACCTAGCCATCTTAGTCTATGTAACTTTATAGCCTCGTCGATTGATTTTCCCTCTTTGCCCAACACTCTACGCCTAACGTCAACATTACTTACCTTATTAAACCACCTAACGTGAGACAGAGATCGCAGACATCTATGATCGAAAGCAGTCAACCTTTTCATGTCTTCAACGCGTATTGGCCATGTTTCAGAGCCATAGAGAAGGACGGAGCGAACTGATGAGCAGTACACACGTCCCTTGGTTGATAACCGGATGTCACGCCTACGCCAGAGATGGTGTAAGTCAGCGAAAGCAGCTCGAGCTTTTCGGATCCGTGCTGAGATTTCATCGCCAATCAGTCCGTTGGTGCTAATACAACTTCCCAAATAGGTGAAGTGGTCAACATGTTCTATCACTTCACTCCCTATCACTAAGGAGTTGACGTAGTCCAGTCCTGTAGCAGCATCTTACATTTTGTAGGGGCGAATCGCATGCCAAACATACGAAGATTGCTGCTCAAGGTGTTCAGAAGACTCTGCATTTTGTCAGCATCCTCCCCTAACAGGACTATGTCATCTGCATATTCTAAGTCCATTAGATTATTCCCTGGTAACAAGTCGATTCCTAAGTCATTACGTTCAGTTAAGGATACTTCCATTAGCATATCTATGATGAAGTTAAACAGAAATGGGGAAAGTGGACATCCCTGTCGGACACCACTGGTTGTTACCAATTCAGATGACAATTCCCCATAAGCCCTTACACGACTACGTGAGTTTGAATAGAGTGCCTTGATTAGTGCAATGTACTTTCTTGGCACTCCCTTCACAGTCAGACATTGCCATAGTACCTTTCGATCCACGGAGTCGAAGGCCGCCTTCAAGTCAAGAAATATGACAATTGTTGGACGCCGAAAAGTGTGTCTATGTTCTAGAATCTGTCGGAGAGTGAAGATATGATCAATACACCCTCTTCCTAGTCTAAAGCCTCCCTGGTTCTCTCATGTTTGTTCCTCCCGACCACCACTTAGTCTACGCATGGTTATTGAGCCTAGGACTTTAGATACTATATTAGTCAGGCTAATCCCTCTGTGATTATCACAGGGAGACTTGTCTCCCTTCTTGTGTATGGGGGTAATCAGTGACCTACACCAACCCGATGGGACCTCCTCTGATTCCCAGACGCTGCCTAGAACCTCAGTTAATGCAGACAGTAAACTGTCTCCACTGTACTTAAATACCTCTGGAGTCATTCCATCAGGTCCTGCTGCTTTGCCTTGTTTCAGATTGGTGACAGCTTTAGTAACCTCAGTTAAGGAAGGAGGGTCTGTATCTATATCCCACTCAGGGAGGTGTTGGATATTCGCCAGGTTGAGCATGGCTGTAGGCCAATAAAACTGCTCCTCATGGTGCTCTTTCCAGCGTCCCAGTCGTCTATCCTGGGAGCTAATTATGGTGCCATTTCCCTCAGAGGTTGTTTCACTTATCATTTGCCTTTCACCACCTGTTTCCCTGATAAGCCTAAATAGTTGTCTGGTGTTACCAATCGCCGATGCCTTCTCCATCTATTTCGCTTTTGTCGCCCACCACTGTTCACGGTCGTTGCGAAGACTTTTTGTAAGTTTTCGTTTGAGTAGTTTCGCTCCTCATCATAATCGGAGCTCGCTGGAATCAGTCTTCTTGCGTCAATCAGTTCGGATGAGGCGGTGGAGATCCAATGGCTTTTACTAACTTGAGGTTTTAGCTTATTAACAGCTTTCACAGCTGTGTCTACAGTTAACTGTATGTTGTGCCAGGCTACCTGAGGGGAAGTCGTGCTATCGACCTCAGAAACTCGTTTCGCTATTTCTTCCTTAAATGAGGACTCAGTGTCTCGATCTAGTTAGGGACGTAACTGTTTCGCTGCCGTCAATTTCTTATGTCCATTTAGTCGCAAGCATAAACGTGCGCGAACCAGAGGGTGATCAGTTTCCACGCACGTGTTCCAGAGGGGCGACAGTCTTCTACTGACCCTCGCCAACGATACCCTATGACAATGTAGTCCATCTGAGCCCAGTGTTGATTTGGTGATGGAGTTCGCCAGGTTACACAATGTCTGTCTTTGTGCCTAAAGTTAGTGCTGAATAGGAACAGATGTTTATCTGAACAGAACTGTAGGAGATGGTCACCGTTGTCAGTTCTCTGGCACGGAACTCCATAGGTGCCACCGACGTCCTCAGATTGACACAATTTCCCTACTTGAGCATTAAAGTCAACAGCTAGGACGACTATATCTAAGCGTTTAGCCTTTCTCACCAAACTAGACAGCTTTTGGTAGAACTCATCCTTCGTTTCATCCGAACTGCAGTCAGTGGGGGTGTAGGCGGAGATTACGAAAAGGCATCGGCGAGTAGTGCAGTCCTTTCTCCTTTTTACTGATCCGTTCAGACGGACAGCACACATTCGGCTATCTACCGGAATCCAGTCAAGTAACGTCTTTTCTGCCCTAGTATTCAAAGCTATCCCTACACCAGCTAATCCTCGTGAACTAGCTGTGGCATCTGACACCCTCAGGGTGATTTTCGCAGATTAATCCTGTTGACCAGGTGGGGTTAGTTGAGTAACCACACTTGGGTCTTGTATGTGTGTTTCTGAAGCACAACATGCATCAGTGGCTCGAGACGCCAGAGTCTTGGCTAGTGATGCTTGTTGTCCTATTTGGCAAAGTGTCCTAACATTAAATGCTCCTATATGAAATTGGTGGCGTGGCTTTAGGGGGCTGTCGGTGGTGGTTTTTTGGCTTCCGTCGTTTTTAGTGGACACAGAGTGAAGAGGGAGTGAAGAGACATCAAGTAGAGGAGTTGCATCAGTGGAAGGCAAGATAATAGAGATGAAGATGAAGACAAAGATGAGTAAGGATTAGAGAGGTTTCGTGTGCATTTCGGATTGTGAGGGTGATTGTTACTTCCTGGCTGCCCACACCGAGGAAGTTGGTTGCGTGACCGCAGAGCCCAGGGGACAACTGCTTGATGCCGGTCACACGCGGCCTGTTTTTGTTTGTTCTTTATTGTTTGGTGTGTCTCAGTAGCATATTTATCACTTCTGCCCTGTGACACGGCAGCACGAAGCGCGGTCGTTGTTAATCCGGGCCCCGACCGATCCGGGATGATATTTTGTGAATTTGTTTGAACCATAGTATTGGATTGGGTAGCTACTTTTTGTCTAACCGCTATCCAAACGACCTTTCTGGCATGGCAGGACCTCAAGAGACATAAGTCTCAGCCAGCATAGCTTGTTGGGTCATTGCAGTGTTCAAACCCGACCACCACGTCAAGGTAGCAGCTTTCGGTCGGGTTTCTTGTGTTCAGCTCCCTACTCTTCCCCTTTGTATAAATTTCGGTGTTTGCACTGACTGCAGGTGATGACGATCGTACAATCCGGTCGGGGATTTTCACATAGGACGATCACCTTATGTCATGTAATTTATTCCCTATCAAGCTGTATTATTTCGTTGGTTAATAAGTTTAGGGTGGGATAAGAGTAGACTTACTGAAAGTGAAAGAATGCACATGTAGTTGTTCTGTCTTCATTCCTGGTTCACCTCAAACAACTTACAGTAGTTATACAAATTTTTTAATATTTTTGAAGTTACTTGTTACCACAATAAGCAGACGTTACACTGATTTTATTATTTTCTTACCCAGGTTCAGTCTCTGCAAATGGCTAATTTATCATTGTAAGCTTTAGAATGCCATATGACAATATGAAGAAATCATTCCGAAATCGACATAGTGTAGTTCCATTTAGGAAAATAAGGGTATTTTGCGAAATTAATTAATAATTAAGTTCGGGTTTTTGAACCTTTTCTCGTCACTGGTATTTGGATGCTTTGTGCAGCTGATTCAGCACACTACTCAAGCTGTCCTAGATGATACTGCGACATTAACGTTTACTATAAACCTCCTCGATAATATTTTGAATTCGCCGTATTGGCACCTCCAGTTGTCTTGAGTACATGTGTTTCTGTTTCACAGATTAAAACATGATTAGCTTATTAAATCTCAAACCTTATAATGACATACTGCTTTTTTCCTTTTCCCATACTGTAGTGAACAATGGAAACACTTTCGCTCTGCAAAAAATGTTTAAGAGATTACTGACCTTGCAACATGGAGGTTGGTAATATTATGGGAGACCAGTTTTTACCAAACAACCACGTAGTAACTGAAATATCAAACACGGAATCGGCCAACAGTGAACCAAGGCGTGACGGTAATGTCATACATTCAAAGGATAATTGTGCTAATATAACTAATTCTGTAGGTTCTGTACATCATCATCATCGTCGAAAACGGTCCCACGTGTCACCACTTGCGCGGTCTAGACAGTCCATGAATTCGCTAGAATCACCTCCATACACAGAATGCGGCCTTTCACGTCTGAAAGACCATGTAGAAATAATAGACTCTGCTGATGAAGATAACGGTGTGGCTAGTTGCAATTCTGAAACTCTTCTGAATAATGAAACTGCTCAGACAACTGAAAAATCTGTAAATGCTCTAAAGCTCACCAAATTGGATCCAGAGTTCCGTGATTGATCTCACGTTATGTGTGCTCTGACTATGTCATTCATTGTCTCGAACTGGCTGGGTTTTGTTCACCGTACGTTATCGCCCGAATGGATTACCATCAGTTGCAGAGACTGGAAGCCTTCGTAGGACATGCGTGTTCAGTTATGAAGTCAGCTAGTCTGAGAGAGCATTTCGTAGGGCCTATTTTCGCAGATGATCCTCTTAAGTTCAAACTGCCTTCTGGTGCAGCTTGTGGAATTCTTCTTGCGGCGAATGAAATACGTAAAAGGTATCGCCGTACTCAGTTACCAGTAGAAAGTCAAAATGTCATTGATGAGGATGTGATAATTGTCCCAGATTCGTGCGACCAAAGTTTCAATGATGCAGCTTGTCAGACATACTCATCAGCATTTCATTCGCTTTCTGTATTGTCCCCAGTGCCGAACATTTCAACTGATGCACTTAGCGTTGTGGGAAATCTAGAAACCACATCTCCTACAGCGGCTATGAATTCAAATCCTAGGACATCTAATTCACCAAACTCACTAAAGCTAGAATCAAATACCGCATCAACAACTGGATCAGCAGCAATGATGGCTACTACTATTGTTACCGCTGCGACTGTAAGTGGAAACGGATTTAATAATTCTATGCCGACTGAAAATAGTTCGGCAACACTCCCTACTTTAAATAACTCCTCATCTGTCGATGCCAGTTCCATCCCTCATCCACGAACTAGCCCCTCACCAGTGCCATCACGTGTATCAGTTTCAGCACCTAACGTTCATACTCCCACCGTAACTTCAAATACTTTTCCCTCGCAGCCTAACTTTGTGCTCAGCCCCTCTCCCATAGAATGCGGCAGTGGAGTCTTAGGAAACGATGCAGTCATTTTAGAACGCTTAAAACAACACTCTTCAGCCAGTGCCATTAGGTTAGCATCACGGCAGTTCGTCAATGCATACCTTATGCGTGGTAGAGATTTTGATATGGAAATGGAACTTTCAGTAACACCTGATGGGTCTAAACGTGTCACCGGGATATTTTATTGTCACCTGTGCAGAGAGAAACGAGAGCGTACCTCAGCTGTACGTTTTTCAATAGCTCGCAATAGATACCCAGTTTTGAGTAATGTTTTGTCTCATCTGAAAACTCATTTCCACTACCGAGGACAACTACTGTCAGGATTGCAGGCATCAGTGATCCAGCAAACTCAAAGCTTACTCAAATCAGCTAAGTCACTTAACGAATCCTTCACAGGCCAGGGTGTAAGTCAGTCTTCAGGAGCATTTAATTGTTCGAATTATCTTTCAGACATAGTCGGGGAAAATACCCTTAATACATCTAACAATTCATTTTTACAACCATCTGTTTCTGTCAACCAGTTCCATTCCCATATAAAACCAGAATCCGCAGACTATACCTATACTGTGGATTCTGAGGGTAATGAAGATTCCAATTCAGTGCATCCTATTTTCGACAGTTTGTCTGCCTCTTCACACAGATTAAATTCATCAAGTGATAGAAGTTTGTCTCCTACTCGTGGTTTGGGACTTGACGTTGGTATTCCCTCAAGACAAAATACAACTTCCAGTAATCGGTGCAATACCCTCACATCTTGACTGGTATTTTAGCGGCTTCTTCTTCTGCGAATTTATTCACTTGCAAATAGCTGATTATCTACCTGTTCTAATCATTCAGTGTGAGATTTAATTTTGAAAGATATGTATACATAAACAAATTACTCATCATTCTTCTGCATTCCACAGTAGGAATCCCCTGTAAATATCACTTGTTTGTTGTCTCCTCCAATTTCTTAATTATGGTATGTACATTTGTATATAAATTATTTTTCGTCAAAAAACTTCTCTGACGGTACATGACATATGCGTCATGTGTGTGCATGAACTTTCACAGAATTGCTTGTAACGTCAGCTGAATTTATACGATTCTTCAATATTCTATCGTCCAGTATTATTTTGTATTTTGTTTCATACCTCGTGTTGTTTATCAGTATATTGTGGATTTTAATACAGTAAAATATTGAGATTGATAGGTGAATGAAGCACCTTAGTAAATAAAAGCTTGTTAAGCTTAATCACAATCAACTGGTCTTACATTTTTATAGTACAGTCATTCAAAAATTTACCCTTTTGTACTTAAAAAATACTGAGACTGAACCTCATGAGACACTCACATACGTTTAAAAGACGAAGTATTACTCTACAACCACATTACTTGATGCCTTCAGTGTTGGGTTTGGTTATGCAAAGTCCAGTAATTCGAAGCGGATGTGATCTAAAGTCCATTCGATAATAATCTAATACCCCATTCAGCGTCAGCGCCTTACTACTTCCAATCAAACAAATGATGTTCGTGTTTATTCCTAACTTGTCATCCTTATTTCTCTATGTAGAGGGAATGAGATGATAATATTTCAAAGTGGTTTGGGTTGACAGATACTCACCTATTAGAGATTATAAATGGAATAAAGTTTTGATAGCTGTGTAACTCAAATGTTTAATTGTAGTCCAAAATTCGTTCTGCAGTTCTGGGGCATATCGCACTCCTATACGATTAAAAACGGTAACACTTAAGAAATCTGTAAATCTCAACGTATAAAAACTCGTGAAAATTTAATCTGACCGATTAGATCGTGGTGGCTGGCAGTGGAATTCAAGAAGTACGTTTAATTCTATGCGATAATCACTAGGCGTATGTTGCAACCAATGTATCCATTAAAGTTCTAAAGGATATCTATCGTGAGCCCGAATAACTCATTGGCAACGTCTCAATGCAAATCAGATTGGTTACTATTAGAATCTGAGAGAGGACACAAATCTCCCCCGAGTTTTCAGGGATGCCTTGCTGACGAGTGCTCACATGCACGAAAATTTTGATCCACAGTCTTCTACTGATCGCCTACAGCCATCTTACAAGAAGGCATCGATCACTGGATGGTGGTTAAATAGCTGTTTTCCTTACACAGTGCTTATTGACATGTACTTGGCAGCTTTTCAATCTAACTACTAGGTGCTCTTAGGCTAACGGTCTTCAGTTATACGGCTTATTCAAAATCACCTTGTAAGTGCTTGTGAACAAGCATATTGCAATTAGAGCTGATCATACTAAATAAATCTAACCTTTGGAGTTAGTAATTGTGGGTGATATACCGTTCTGCGTAGTACTAATTTCACCAAAATATGCGTATATAATTTCAGTAATTGAATATTGCATGGTGTATATAGTTTTGATATATGATCTTGGATGGCGTGTTCAGCGCAAATTTGTGTTCATAGTATTTAATTACGAATTGTGGTGATTATATATCGCATTAGCACGGAAACACAGTGTTCGAATCGCAGGAAGTATTTAGAAAGAATAGATATTGACCGGAAATACAACAGGTAACCAAATGTCTACTTAAGGAAAGCCCTTCTGTTATTCTCTTCGGCACACTACGGTGTTCTAGACAGTGAACACGAGAAACCATATGGATAGGATTTTTAGATGACATTTACGCAAATTACGACGTATACCAACCCAAGTTCTTATCCTACAACTCCTAAAGTATTTATTCTGCATAGACTGATGGCAAATCAAAGCCAAATTGATCATCCAAAATAAGAAATATATTTTGGGATCAAAATCTTAGTGATAGGATGATCGTTTAACTAGTAAGGGATTGTACACGAACGTAACATGATGGTGTACCAAAAATAGCGCAGATGATTGACCACGAATCTTCTGTATAACGAGTCGACTTAAACATTGTAGGTCGGCATCCAGTGTTGAGTGACGAATGCTCTAGACTAATAACTTTGGGAATTATATACCACTACAAGATTAGGTCAAAGGTGGGAGCGATTACAGTTATACGAACATTCTTTGGCCTATAATGTCAAGTAAAACTAACTGTATAGATTTTATGATTTGCATTTCGTACAATATGTCAAGTCACAGAATCTATTATAACATTACCAAGTTAGCCATCATAACAGACCACTCTATTGACCGCCTAATGTATGCAGTAAGCAACCCATTATAGATGAGATTTTTATTTTGATAAATCACACAATGTTGTACAGTAACTAATGACGTTTGGAGCACAATCTATTGCTCATAATCATATCAAGTTCATCAGTTAATATTACTGTGCAACACTGTGATTTATCAAAATAAAAGTCTTATCTATAATGGAGTTATGCTCTACCACGGTGCCCAAGTTTTATACTTATATGCAGTAAGCAGTCGAACTCAAACAGTTATCAATTCAGTTGAGCGATGTAATATCGCCTCTTCAAAAGATTAGGATTCATTATTTCTGAATAATGTTTTATCTTTGCTAAATTATACGAAAAAATATTCTGCCTTTTAAAAATGCATACAACGCGTTCCTTCGATCATCTTCGTCAAGGCAAGAAGAACACACAAGATTTGCGGCTTAAAATGTGCACATTTAATATCAAGGCTTCGCTTCATCTACACAAAAACAGCCTTATATATATATATATATATATTCTTTATATATAAGGTCAATGAAATGAGAACATACATCTTGTATTCCGCTAACAGAATTTAGGCATACACACCACAGTTTAAAGAAACAAAAACAGGTGGAATATGATGACACGACCGTTACAACTGACACGGAAAGAAGGTAATCATTTAACATAACTTTTAAGGAAGCTTTGAGAAGTTTCGCTAAACGACTTAACAATAAAGCACTTAGTAACCAGCAACATAAAGGGATAAAATATGCCATAATAAACAGGAAAACATTTATAAGTGATCTTATATCATTTAAGAAAGTTAATATCGGTGAGTTGGAAAATCATGCTAATAGCCGCAGAATACATAACTACAATGAAAAAGCTTTATTTCAGGCAAAATGTGACACAGTACAGACATTTTCGAAGTACCCAGTTCCAAAATATTATAACTTTGTAGAGGATTTAAATGTTGAGTAATAATCCAAAGTAAATTATGTGACATCGTTTTGTTGCATACAAAGAGAGAAGGAATTTGGCATATTCCACCTTCCTTTTCCTTAAGAATTGCACGGTATTTTGTTCGAAGCTAATTAACTATATGCGCGAGTTCATATAGTGATCATCTGATATAAATTGGATAATAAAAGCAAGAAATCAAGGAGTTTAGGCATTTTGATGGATGTTAAGTGTGGTCTATCTGTCTGTCTGTTTTCGACATAGAACTTTGCACATACGTGCGGCAGTTCAAGTCGCCACACTCCATGTACCACACAAAGCAAGAGGAGAAATGCATAATAGAAACAGTAAACAGAGGTGTGAGACAAAGAAATAGTAATAACGAAGAACAAACAGTTTCATTGGAAATCATAAGTCACAAGGAGTGGATGCATCTGCGCCAGCCATTGAGAACGATTTTGAGCCATGTCACCAATTGTTTCCAACCATTGGTTTTTACCGTCCCGAGGACCCCAACCAGGAAGTCTACACCTTCCTACGTGGCTTAAACTAACTGTTGTGGATTTCATTGACTGGTGCCATGTTTTGGCTTGACCTCTTTTCCAGCCTGATCCTATATCAGCTAATATTGCCTGTTGTCGAGGAAGGCGATGACTAGGGATACGTAACACATGTCCTAACCATCTCAGTCGATGTAACTTCACAACCTCGTCGATTGATTTCCCCTCCTTTCCTAGCCCTCGACCGATGCCTAACCTCAATAATACTCACCTTATTATACCAGTTCACACGGGAAATAGAACGCAGGCACCTATGATCAAAGACAGCTAATCTTTTCATGTCTTCCACTCTCAATGGCCACGCTTCACAGCCATAAAGGGGACGGAGCGGACTGATGAGCTGTACACCCGCCCTTTGGTCGATAGTCGGATATCTCGTCTACGCCAGAGACGGCGTAAACTGGAATATGCGAAACTAGCTCTCTGTATCCGTTCTGAGATTTCGTCAGAGATCAACCCGTTGGCACTGGCTGATGGTACTTCCCAAATAAGTGAAGCGGTCAACGTGCTCTACCACTTCACTCCCTATTTGTTTACTATGAGGCAGTGTAGTCCAGCCCTGTAACATCATCTTACATTTGGCGGGAGCGAATCGCATTCCAAACATTCGTAGATTGCAGCTCAAGGTGTTTAGAAGACTCTGCATTTTGTCAGCATCCTCGCCTAGAAGGACTATATCGTCTGCATATTCTAAGTCAACGAGATTATTCCCTGGTAGCAAGTCAATCCCTGAGTCGCTGAAGTCACTTGGGGTTAAGTCCATTAGTACATCTATGATGAAATTGAATAGAAATGGGGATAATGGGCATCCCTGTCGGACACCACTAGTCGTCACCAGTTCAGATGACAACTCGCCATAAGCCCTCACCTGGCTGTATGAGTACGAGTAGAGTGCCTTAATCAGTGTAATGTATTTTCTCGTCATTCCCTTTACAGACAAGCATCGCCAGAGAACCTCTCGGTCGATAGAATCGAATTCCGCCTTTAGGTCAAGAAATATAATGATTGTTGGACGCCGGTAGGAATTCCTATGTTCTAGAGTCTGTCGGAGAGTGAAGATATGATCAATACACCCTCTTCCTAGTCTAAAGCCTCCCTGGTTCTCTCATGTTTGTTCCTCCCAACCACCACTTAGTCTACGCATGGTTATTGAGCCTAGGACTTTAGATACTATATTAGTCAGGCTAATCCCTCTGTGATTATCACAGGGAGACTTGTCTCCCTTCTTGTGTATGGGGGTAATCAGTGACCTACACCAACCCGATGGGACCTCCTCTGATTCCCAGACGCTGCCTAGAACCTCAGTTAATGCAGACAGTAAACTGTCTCCACTGTACTTAAATACCTCTGGAGTCATTCCATCAGGTCCTGCTGCTTTGCCTTGTTTCAGATTGGTGACAGCTTTAGTAACCTCAGTTAAGGAAGGAGGGTCTGTATCTATATCCCACTCAGGGAGGTGTTGGATATTCGCCAGGTTGAGCATGGCTGTAGGCCAATAAAACTGCTCCTCATGGTGCTCTTTCCAGCGTCCCAGTCGTCTATCCTGGGAGCTAATTATGGTACCATTTCCCTCAGAGGTTGTTTCACTTATCATTTGCCTTTCACCACCTGTTTCCCTGATAAGCCTAAATAGTTGTCTGGTGTTACCAATCGCCGATGCCTTCTCCATCTATTTCGCTTTTGTCGCCCACCACTGTTCACGGTCGTTGCGAAGACTTTTTGTAAGTTTTCGTTTGAGTAGTTTCGCTCCTCATCATAATCGGAGCTCGCTGGAATCAGTCTTCTTGCGTCAATCAGTTCGGATGAGGCGGTGGAGATCCAATGGCTTTTACTAACTTGAGGTTTTAGCTTATTAACAGCTTTCACAGCTGTGTCTACAGTTAACTGTATGTTGTGCCAGGCTACCTGAGGGGAAGTCGTGCTATCGACCTCAGAAACTCGTTTCGCTATTTCTTCCTTAAATGAGGACTCAGTGTCTCGATCTAGTTAGGGACGTAACTGTTTCGCTGCCGTCAATTTCTTATGTCCATTTAGTCGCAAGCATAAACGTGCGCGAACCAGAGGGTGATCAGTTTCCACGCACGTGTTCCAGAGGGGCGACAGTCTTCTACTGACCCTCGCCAACGATACCCTATGACAATGTAGTCCATCTGAGCCCAGTGTTGATTTGGTGATGGAGTTCGCCAGGTTACACAATGTCTGTCTTTGTGCCTAAAGTTAGTGCTGAATAGGAACAGATGTTTATCTGAACAGAACTGTAGGAGATGGTCACCGTTGTCAGTTCTCTGGCACGGAACTCCATAGGTGCCACCGACATCCTCAGATTGACACAATTTCCCTACTTGAGCATTAAAGTCAACAGCTAGGACGACTATATCTAAGCGTTTAGCCTTTCTCACCAAACTAGACAGCTTTTGGTAGAACTCATCCTTCGTTTCATCCGAACTGCAGTCAGTGGGGGTGTAGGCGGAGATTACGAAAAGGCATCGGCGAGTAGTGCAGTCCTTTCTCCTTTTTACTGATCCGTTCAGACGGACAGCACACATTCGGCTATCTACCGGAATCCAGTCAAGTAACGTCTTTTCTGCCCTAGTATTCAAAGCTATCCCTACACCAGCTAATCCTCGTGAACTAGCTGTGGCATCTGACACCCTCAGGGTGATTTTCGCAGATTAATCCTGTTGACCAGGTGGGGTTAGTTGAGTAACCACACTTGGGTCTTGTATGTGTGTTTCTGAAGCACAACATGCATCAGTGGCTCGAGACGCCAGAGTCTTGGCTAGTGATGCTTGTTGTCCTATTTGGCAAAGTGTCCTAACATTAAATGCTCCTATATGAAATTGGTGGCGTGGCTTTAGGGGGCTGTCGGTGGTGGTTTTTTGGCTTCCGTCGTTTTTAGTGGACACAGAGTGAAGAGGGAGTGAAGAGACATCAAGTAGAGGAGTTGCATCAGTGGAAGGCAAGATAATAGAGATGAAGATGAAGACAAAGATGAGTAAGGATTAGAGAGGTTTCGTGTGCATTTCGGATTGTGAGGGTGATTGTTACTTCCTGGCTGCCCACACCGAGGAAGTTGGTTGCGTGACCGCAGAGCCCAGGGGACAACTGCTTGATGCCGGTCACACGCGGCCTGTTTTTGTTTGTTCTTTATTGTTTGGTGTGTCTCAGTAGCATATTTATCACTTCTGCCCTGTGACACGGCAGCACGAAGCGCGGTCGTTGTTAATCCGGGCCCCGACCGATCCGGGATGATATTTTGTGAATTTGTTTGAACCATAGTATTGGATTGGGTAGCTACTTTTTGTCTAACCGCTATCCAAACGACCTTTCTGGCATGGCAGGACCTCAAGAGACATAAGTCTCAGCCAGCATAGCTTGTTGGGTCATTGCAGTGTTCAAACCCGACCACCACGTCAAGGTAGCAGCTTTCGGTCGGGTTTCTTGTGTTCAGCTCCCTACTCTTCCCCTTTGTATAAATTTCGGTGTTTGCACTGACTGCAGGTGATGACGATCGTACAATCCGGTCGGGGATTTTCACATAGGACGGTCACCTTATGTCATGTAATTTATTCCCTATCAAGCTGTATTATTTCGTTGGTTAATAAGTTTAGGGTGGGATAAGAGTAGACTTACTGAAAGTGAAAGAATGCACATGTAGTTGTTCTGTCTTCATTCCTGGTTCACCTCAAACAACTTACAGTAGTTATACAAATTTTTTAATATTTTTGAAGTTACTTGTTACCACAATAAGCAGACGTTACACTGATTTTATTATTTTCTTACCCAGGTTCAGTCTCTGCAAATGGCTAATTTATCATTGTAAGCTTTAGAATGCCATATGACAATATGAAGAAATCATTCCGAAATCGACATAGTGTAGTTCCATTTAGGAAAATAAGGGTATTTTGCGAAATTAATTAATAATTAAGTTCGGGTTTTTGAACCTTTTCTCGTCACTGGTATTTGGATGCTTTGTGCAGCTGATTCAGCACACTACTCAAGCTGTCCTAGATGATACTGCGACATTAACGTTTACTATAAACCTCCTCGATAATATTTTGAATTCGCCGTATTGGCACCTCCAGTTGTCTTGAGTACATGTGTTTCTGTTTCACAGATTAAAACATGATTAGCTTATTAAATCTCAAACCTTATAATGACATACTGCTTTTTTCCTTTTCCCATACTGTAGTGAACAATGGAAACACTTTCGCTCTGCAAAAAATGTTTAAGAGATTACTGACCTTGCAACATGGAGGTTGGTAATATTATGGGAGACCAGTTTTTACCAAACAACCACGTAGTAACTGAAATATCAAACACGGAATCGGCCAACAGTGAACCAAGGCGTGACGGTAATGTCATACATTCAAAGGATAATTGTGCTAATATAACTAATTCTGTAGGTTCTGTACATCATCATCATCGTCGAAAACGGTCCCACGTGTCACCACTTGCGCGGTCTAGACAGTCCATGAATTCGCTAGAATCACCTCCATACACAGAATGCGGCCTTTCACGTCTGAAAGACCATGTAGAAATAATAGACTCTGCTGATGAAGATAACGGTGTGGCTAGTTGCAATTCTGAAACTCTTCTGAATAATGAAACTGCTCAGACAACTGAAAAATCTGTAAATGCTCTAAAGCTCACCAAATTGGATCCAGAGTTCCGTGATTTGATCTCACGTTATGTGTGCTCTGACTATGTCATTCATTGTCTCGAACTGGCTGGGTTTTGTTCACCGTACGTTATCGCCCGAATGGATTACCATCAGTTGCAGAGACTGGAAGCCTTCGTAGGACATGCATGTTCAGTTATGAAGTCAGCTAGTCTGAGAGAGCATTTCGTAGGGCCTATTTTCGCAGATGATCCTCTTAAGTTCAAACTGCCTTCTGGTGCAGCTTGTGGAATTCTTCTTGCGGCGAATGAAATACGTAAAAGGTATCGCCGTACTCAGTTACCAGTAGAAAGTCAAAATGTCATTGATGAGGATGTGATAATTGTCCCAGATTCGTGCGACCAAAGTTTCAATGATGCAGCTTGTCAGACATACTCATCAGCATTTCATTCGCTTTCTGTATTGTCCCCAGTGCCGAACATTTCAACTGATGCACTTAGCGTTGTGGGAAATCTAGAAACCACATCTCCTACAGCGGCTATGAATTCAAATCCTAGGACATCTAATTCACCAAACTCACTAAAGCTAGAATCAAATACCGCATCAACAACTGGATCAGCAGCAATGATGGCTACTACTATTGTTACCGCTGCGACTGTAAGTGGAAACGGATTTAATAATTCTATGCCGACTGAAAATAGTTCGGCAACACTCCCTACTTTAAATAACTCCTCATCTGTCGATGCCAGTTCCATCCCTCATCCACGAACTAGCCCCTCACCAGTGCCATCACGTGTATCAGTTTCAGCACCTAACGTTCATACTCCCACCGTAACTTCAAATACTTTTCCCTCGCAGCCTAACTTTGTGCTCAGCCCCTCTCCCATAGAATGCGGCAGTGGAGTCTTAGGAAACGATGCAGTCATTTTAGAACGCTTAAAACAACACTCTTCAGCCAGTGCCATTAGGTTAGCATCACGGCAGTTCGTCAATGCATACCTTATGCGTGGTAGAGATTTTGATATGGAAATGGAACTTTCAGTAACACCTGATGGGTCTAAACGTGTCACCGGGATATTTTATTGTCACCTGTGCAGAGAGAAACGAGAGCGTACCTCAGCTGTACGTTTTTCAATAGCTCGCAATAGATACCCAGTTTTGAGTAATGTTTTGTCTCATCTGAAAACTCATTTCCACTACCGAGGACAACTACTGTCAGGATTGCAGGCATCAGTGATCCAGCAAACTCAAAGCTTACTCAAATCAGCTAAGTCACTTAACGAATCCTTCACAGGCCAGGGTGTAAGTCAGTCTTCAGGAGCATTTAATTGTTCGAATTATCTTTCAGACATAGTCGGGGAAAATACCCTTAATACATCTAACAATTCATTTTTACAACCATCTGTTTCTGTCAACCAGTTCCATTCCCATATAAAACCAGAATCCGCAGACTATACCTATACTGTGGATTCTGAGGGTAATGAAGATTCCAATTCAGTGCATCCTATTTTCGACAGTTTGTCTGCCTCTTCACACAGATTAAATTCATCAAGTGATAGAAGTTTGTCTCCTACTCGTGGTTTGGGACTTGACGTTGGTATTCCCTCAAGACAAAATACAACTTCCAGTAATCGGTGCAATACCCTCACATCTTGACTGGTATTTTAGCGGCTTCTTCTTCTGCGAATTTATTCACTTGCAAATAGCTGATTATCTACCTGTTCTAATCATTCAGTGTGAGATTTAATTTTGAAAGATATGTATACATAAACAAATTACTCATCATTCTTCTGCATTCCACAGTAGGAATCCCCTGTAAATATCACTTGTTTGTTGTCTCCTCCAATTTCTTAATTATGGTATGTACATTTGTATATAAATTATTTTTCGTCAAAAAACTTCTCTGACGGTACATGACATATGCGTCATGTGTGTGCATGAACTTTCACAGAATTGCTTGTAACGTCAGCTGAATTTATACGATTCTTCAATATTCTATCGTCCAGTATTATTTTGTATTTTGTTTCATACCTCGTGTTGTTTATCAGTATATTGTGGATTTTAATACAGTAAAATATTGAGATTGATAGGTGAATGAAGCACCTTAGTAAATAAAAGCTTGTTAAGCTTAATCACAATCAACTGGTCTTACATTTTTATAGTACAGTCATTCAAAAATTTACCCTTTTGTACTTAAAAAATACTGAGACTGAACCTCATGAGACACTCACATACGTTTAAAAGACGAAGTATTACTCTACAACCACATTACTTGATGCCTTCAGTGTTGGGTTTGGTTATGCAAAGTCCAGTAATTCGAAGCGGATGTGATCTAAAGTCCATTCGATAATAATCTAATACCCCATTCAGCGTCAGCGCCTTACTACTTCCAATCAAACAAATGATGTTCGTGTTTATTCCTAACTTGTCATCCTTATTTCTCTATGTAGAGGGAATGAGATGATAATATTTCAAAGTGGTTTGGGTTGACAGATACTCACCTATTAGAGATTATAAATGGAATAAAGTTTTGATAGCTGTGTAACTCAAATGTTTAATTGTAGTCCAAAATTCGTTCTGCAGTTCTGGGGCATATCGCACTCCTATACGATTAAAAACGGTAACACTTAAGAAATCTGTAAATCTCAACGTATAAAAACTCGTGAAAATTTAATCTGACCGATTAGATCGTGGTGGCTGGCAGTGGAATTCAAGAAGTACGTTTAATTCTATGCGATAATCACTAGGCGTATGTTGCAACCAATGTATCCATTAAAGTTCTAAAGGATATCTATCGTGAGCCCGAATAACTCATTGGCAACGTCTCAATGCAAATCAGATTGGTTACTATTAGAATCTGAGAGAGGACACAAATCTCCCCCGAGTTTTCAGGGATGCCTTGCTGACGAGTGCTCACATGCACGAAAATTTTGATCCACAGTCTTCTACTGATCGCCTACAGCCATCTTACAAGAAGGCATCGATCACTGGATGGTGGTTAAATAGCTGTTTTCCTTACACAGTGCTTATTGACATGTACTTGGCAGCTTTTCAATCTAACTACTAGGTGCTCTTAGGCTAACGGTCTTCAGTTATACGGCTTATTCAAAATCACCTTGTAAGTGCTTGTGAACAAGCATATTGCAATTAGAGCTGATCATACTAAATAAATCTAACCTTTGGAGTTAGTAATTGTGGGTGATATACCGTTCTGCGTAGTACTAATTTCACCAAAATATGCGTATATAATTTCAGTAATTGAATATTGCATGGTGTATATAGTTTTGATATATGATCTTGGATGGCGTGTTCAGCGCAAATTTGTGTTCATAGTATTTAATTACGAATTGTGGTGATTATACATCGCATTAGCACGGAAACACAGTGTTCGAATCGCAGGAAGTATTTAGAAAGAATAGATATTGACCGGAAATACAACAGGTAACCAAATGTCTACTTAAGGAAAGCCCTTCTGTTATTCTCTTCGGCACACTACGGTGTTCTAGACAGTGAACACGAGAAACCATATGGATAGGATTTTTAGATGACATTTACGCAAATTACGACGTATACCAACCCAAGTTCTTATCCTACAACTCCTAAAGTATTTATTCTGCATAGACTGATGGCAAATCAAAGCCAAATTGATCATCCAAAATAAGAAATATATTTTGGGATCAAAATCTTAGTGATAGGATGATCGTTTAACTAGTAAGGGATTGTACACGAACGTAACATGATGGTGTACCAAAAATAGCGCAGATGATTGACCACGAATCTTCTGTATAACGAGTCGACTTAAACATTGTAGGTCGGCATCCAGTGTTGAGTGACGAATGCTCTAGACTAATAACTTTGGGAATTATATACCACTACAAGATTAGGTCAAAGGTGGGAGCGATTACAGTTATACGAACATTCTTTGGCCTATAATGTCAAGTAAAACTAACTGTATAGATTTTATGATTTGCATTTCGTACAATATGTCAAGTCACAGAATCTATTATAACATTACCAAGTTAGCCATCATAACAGACCACTCTATTGACCGCCTAATGTATGCAGTAAGCAACCCATTATAGATAAGATTTTTATTTTGATAAATCACACAATATTGTACAGTAACTAATGACGTTTGGAGCACAATCTATTGCTCATAATCATATCAAGTTCATCAGTTAATATTACTGTGCAACACTGTGATTTATCAAAATAAAAATCTTATCTATAATGGAGCTATGCTCTACCACGGTGCCCAAGTTTTATACTTATATGCAGTAAGCAGTCGAACTCAAACAGTTATCAATTCAGTTGAGCGATGTAATATCGCCTCTTCAAAAGATTAGGATTCATTATTTCTGAATAATGTTTTATCTTTGCTAAATTATACGAAAAAATATTCTGCCTTTTAAAAATGCATACAACGCGTTCCTTCGATCATCTTCGTCAAGGCAAGAAGAACACACAAGATTTGCGGCTTAAAATGTGCACATTTAATATCAAGGCTTCGCTTCATCTACACAAAAACAGCCTTATATATATATATATATATATTCTTTATATATAAGGTCAATGAAATGAGAACATACATCTTGTATTCCGCTAACAGAATTTAGGCATACAGACCACAGTTTAAAGAAACAAAAACAGGTGGAATATGATGACACGACCGTTACAACTGACACGGAAAGAAGGTAATCATTAACATAACTTTTGAGGAAGCTTTGAGAAGTTTCGCTAAACGACTTAACAATAAAGCACTTAGTAACCAGCAACATAAAGGGATAAAATATGCCATAATAAACAGGAAAACATTTAGAAGTGATCTTATATCATTTAAGAAAGTTAATATCGGTGAGTTGGAAAATCATGCTAATAGCCGCAGAATACATAACTACAATGAAAAACCTTTATTTCAGGCAAAATGTGACACAGTACAGACATTTTCGGAGTACCCAGTTCCAAAATATTATAACTTTGTAGAGGATTTAAATGTTGACTAATAATCCTAAGTAAATTATGTGACATCGTTTCGTTGCATACAAAGAGAGAAGGAATTTGGCATATTCCACCTTCCTTTTCCTTAAGAATTGCACGGTATTTTGTTCGAAGCTAATTAACTATATGCGCGAGTTCATATAGTGATCATCTGATATAAATTGGATAATAAAAGCAAGAAATCAAGGAGTTTAGGCATTTTGATGGATGTTAAGTGTGGCCTATCTGTCTGTCTGTTTTCGACATAGAACTTTGCACATACGTGCGGCAGTTCAAGTCGCCACACTCCATGTTCCACACAAAGCAAGAGGAGAAATGCATAATAGAAACAGTAAACAGAGGTGTGAGACAAAGAAATAGTAATAACGAAGAACAAACAGTTTCATTGGAAATCATAAGTCACAAGGAGTGGATGCATCTGCGCCAGCCATTGAGAACGATTTTGAGCCATGTCACCAATTGTTTCCAACCATTGGTTTTTACCGTCCCGAGGACCCCAACCAGGAAGTCTACACCTTCCTACGTGGCTTAAACTAACTGTTGTGGATTTCATTGACTGGTGCCATGTTTTGGCTTGACCTCTTTTCCAGCCTGATCCTATATCAGCTAATATTGCCTGTTGTCGAGGAAGGCGATGACTAGGGATACGTAACACATGTCCTAACCATCTCAGTCGATATAACTTCACAACCTCGTCGATTGATTTCCCCTCCTTTCCTAGCCCTCGACCGATGCCTAACCTCAATAATACTCACCTTATTATACCAGTTCACACGGGAAATAGAACGCAGGCACCTATGATCAAAGACAGCTAATCTTTTCATGTCTTCCACTCTCAATGGCCACGCTTCACAGCCATAAAGGGGACGGAGCGGACTGATGAGCTGTACACCCGCCCTTTGGTCGATAGTCGGATATCTCGTCTACGCCAGAGACGGCGTAAACTGGAATATGCGAAACTAGCTCTCTGTATCCGTTCTGAGATTTCGTCAGAGATCAACCCGTTGGCACTGGCTGATGGTACTTCGCAAATAAGTGAAGCGGTCAACGTGCTCTACCACTTCACTCCCTATTTGTTTACTATGAGGCAGTGTAGTCCAGCCCTGTAACATCATCTTACATTTGGCGGGAGCGAATCGCATGCCAAACATTCGTAGATTGCAGCTCAAGGTGTTTAGAAGACTCTGCATTTTGTCAGCATCCTCGCCTAGAAGGACTATATCGTCTGCATATTCTAAGTCAACGAGATTATTCCCTGGTAGCAAGTCAATCCCTGAGTCGCTGAAGTCACTTAGGGTTAAGTCCATTAGTACATCTATGATGAAATTGAATAGAAATGGGGATAATGGGCATCCCTGTCGGACACCACTAGTCGTCACCAGTTCAGATGACAACTCGCCATAAGCCCTCACCTGGCTGTATGAGTACGAGTAGAGTGCCTTAATCAGTGTAATGTATTTTCTCGTCATTCCCTTTACAGACAAGCATCGCCAGAGAACCTCTCGGTCGATAGAATCGAATTCCGCCTTTAGGTCAAGAAATATAATGATTGTTGGACGCCGGTAGGAATTCCTATGTTCTAGAGTCTGTCGGAGAGTGAAGATATGATCAATACACCCTCTTCCTAGTCTAAAGCCTCCCTGGTTCTCTCATGTTTGTTCCTCCCGACCACCACTTAGTCTACGCATGGTTATTGAGCCTAGGACTTTAGATACTATATTAGTCAGGCTAATCCCTCTGTGATTATCACAGGGAGACTTGTCTCCCTTCTTGTGTATGGGGGTAATCAGTGACCTACACCAACCCGATGGGACCTCCTCTGATTCCCAGACGCTGCCTAGAACCTCAGTTAATGCAGACAGTAAACTGTCTCCACTGTACTTAAATACCTCTGGAGTCATTCCATCAGGTCCTGCTGCTTTGCCTTGTTTCAGATTGGTGACAGCTTTAGTAACCTCAGTTAAGGAAGGAGGGTCTGTATCTATATCCCACTCAGGGAGGTGTTGGATATTCGCCAGGTTGAGCATGGCTGTAGGCCAATGAAACTGCTCCTCATGGTGCTCTTTCCAGCGTCCCAGTCGTCTATCCTGGGAGCTAATTATGGTGCCATTTCCCTCAGAGGTTGTTTCACTTATCATTTGCCTTTCACCACCTGTTTCCCTGATAAGCCTAAATAGTTGTCTGGTGTTACCAATCGCCGATGCCTTCTCCACCTATTTCGCTTTTGTCGCTCACCACTGTTCACGGTCGTTGCGAGGACTTTTTGTAAGTTTTCGTTTGAGTAGTTTCGCTCCTCATCATAATCGGAGCTCGCTGGAATCAGTCTTCTTGCGTCAATCAGTTCGGATGAGGCGGTGGAGATCCAATGGCTTTTACTAACTTGAGGTTTTAGCTTATTAACAGCTTTCACAGCTGTGTCTACAGTTAACTGTATGTTGTGCCAGGCTACCTGAGGGGAAGTCGTGCTATCGACCTCAGAAACTCGTTTCGCTATTTCTTCCTTAAATGAGGACTCAGTGTCTCGATCTAGTTAGGGACGTAACTGTTTCGCTGCCGTCAATTTCTTATGTCCATTTAGTCGTAAGCATAAACGTGCGCGAACCAGAGGGTGATCAGTTTCCACGCACGTGTTCCAGAGGGGCGACAGTCTTCTACTGACCCTCGCCAACGATACCCTATGACAATGTAGTCCATCTGAGCCCAGTGTTGATTTGGTGATGGAGTTCGTCAGGTTACACAATGTCTGTCTTTGTGCCTAAAGTTAGTGCTGAATAGGAACAGATGTTTATCTGAACAGAACTGTAGGAGATGGTCACCGTTGTCAGTTCTCTGGCACGGAACTCCATAGGTGCCACCGACATCCTTCTCAGATTGACACAATTTCCCTACTTGAGCATTAAAGTCAACAGCTAGGACGACTATATCTAAGCGTTTAGCCTTTCTCACCAAACTAGACAGCTTTTGGTAGAACTCATCCTTCGTTTCATCCGAACTGCAGTCAGTGGGGGTGTAGGCGGAGATTACGAAAAGGCATCGGCGAGTAGTGCAGTCCTTTCTCCTTTTTACTGATCCGTTCAGACGGACAGCACACATTCGGCTATCTACCGGAATCCAGTCAAGTAACGTCTTTTCTGCCCTAGTATTCAAAGCTATCCCTACACCAGCTAATCCTCGTGAACTAGCGTTGGCATCTCCTGACACCCTCAAGGTGATTTTCGCAGATTCATCCTGTTGACCAGGTGGGGTTAGTTGAATAACCACACTCGGGTCTTGTATGCGTGTCTCCAAAACACAACATACATCCATGGCTCGAGACGCCAGAGTCTTGGCTAGTGATGATTGTTGTCAGAGGTTCCTGACGTTCAATGCTCCTATATGAAGTTGGCGACGAGGCTTTAAAAGGCTATTTGGGGTGTTTCTATGGCTCTCATCGTTGTTTATGGCCACAGAGTGAAGTGAAGATGACTCGCTAGCCTACAGAATAGTAGTAGAGAAGCAAGATGAGGAAGATGATGTGAGTAAAGGAGAATGATGTTCAGGAAGGCTTCATGTGCTTTTGGAAGTTGATTGATTATTCGGGTACATGAAACAGAAATAGTGTTGCGTGACTGCAGAGCCCAGGGGACAACTGCCTGAGGTCGGCTACACACGGCCTGTGTAAAGTGGTTTCTGGGATTGGTTCCTTATTAGTAAACTTACCGCCGGTTACGGATCACCGTAGGGCAAGTCGGGATGTATAATTTTTGGGGTCGACCTTTTCTAACCCCTCTCTCCAGAGTGGAGAGACATTATAGCTGGCATGCTGGTCATCTGAGGGAAACACCTCACTGCTGTTACACCCCTGTTCCCTAGTAGTACGACTTCGCCCTTAGACCCCCAGCATAGTATAAGAAAGATTCTTGCGCAATGCCGGTAAATGCTTTTATTCCAATCGCTACCCTAACAACCTTCCTGCATGGGAGGACCTGCAGGAACATTGGTTCCAGTGGAGCTTGTTGGGTCATCGCGATGTACAAGCCCGACCACCACGACAAGGTAGCAGCACAATAATTTAAGCAGGTAGCCGTTAGTAACAGGGGGAGTAATTGCTGCCAGGTTAAATTGCGATTAATCACATTTTCTTTTTATATTAAACAGGTTGGTTTTGGGTCGTTTGATAGTAATAGATACAGCGAATCGAAGTAACTTTTATTAGTCTTATCTATATTTTAGGCCAATTGTAGTTGAAGAGAAGCCTCGATATGCACATTTTATGCAGCAAATCTCGTTCTTATTGCTGTGATGAATCTGTCTTTTATTTATGAAGTACTTCTACTGAAAGTGACTATAAAGCTTAAAATGAATCTGAAGTCAGGAAATTGAAAAGAAAGCGGATATCGAATTGTCCAATGTATGCATACAGATTAAATTTAAAAAAGTGGAGCGGCGCAAACTGCATATCCGTGCTATACAGTTACTAGGATGGAAACGTATGAATATCAGTAAGAGATGGAATTACAGCCAACTTAACAAATGCAGTTTTATTAATACCGACAGATATACGCTTTTGCAATTACCTGTTCCTCTGCCTTTCATATTACAAACGATTAACTACCTAATTGACGAATAAGTCGTCACAAAACACTTAACAAACGGTAAAAGTCATACTGAATATATAATTCAAAAGCATGTGAATGTAAATACATCAATCATTATATCAATTTGGTTACGGAAAAAGTAATTTCAATCTAAAATGCATAAGTCGAATTCCATTTGAATTATTTCTTCTCCATGACGAGAATCATCCGGAGACACCGGAGAGTGTAGTCGATTTACTTTATCCGGGTTGGAAATTTTCAAGCGATTGATCCAAGATGACAATACAGGCAGTAGGAAATCATCCAAAGCATCAGCATACATTTCATCACTATGTCCCTTGCTCTGATAGGAAAAATTTTTAGAATCATCATTCGGTCGTAACTGATTTTGCAATGTATATGCCTCGTGACATGATGCACTCATTCGATAACCCACCTGATCTGGCGACTGTAACTCTATGTGCAAAGTGATTTGTGTACGACCATCACTTCGGAGATGAATAAGATATGGTTCGATAGCCTATAAAATGAACAAAAAATCTAAGGAACATAAAATTGACCAATAATTCAACAACACCTATATTATTTCTTGCTGCATACAACTTCGAGGCATTTTACGAATAAACAATCAAGACAGTGTCGATCACTTTAGGCCAACCTCACTTCTTATGATTATCCCCCCACCTACTGGTTTGACCTATGCGGTTGACTTCACAGTCACTGCAAAGTACTTCTTTGTAAATGATATTATTTAGTCTACTTAGGTCAATGGGGTCCTTTAACCTACTGAGCTTGTCCCTGTGTTAGTTTATAGGTTTAAATGCTACTCTAATTCCCGCTCTATTAAGAAGCCCACATAAAGTTTTAGATTTCCCTTCCCTATACGATAAAAATGTAGATGCCTTAGATTCTCTCTTATTCATGTTATCGTCACTAGTTTCACTACTATTTTCACTTTTACTGTGACCTTTTTTGATCTTCCGAATGAATTTCACGGGATAGTCATTTGACACCAACGCTCCTTTTATCTGTTTCATTTCATTATTTAGCTTTTTTGATGTGCTACTTAGTGTTGTTGCTCAGTTTATTAGACATTTAACTAAGCCTGCCCATTCAGATAACGGATGAGATTAATTAAAATCTAAATATCTATTAGAATACAGCGGTGTCTTATAAACGCCTCTTTCAGTTCGCTTTTAATTTTAGAATCTAATATAGCTAATTCTCTTTGTTCATTTTCCGACTCAAATATGAATTTTATTCCTCTTACTAGTGAGTTTATATGTGTGGAGAAAATAGAGATATGTTGTAGGATTAAATGTATTAGGAGCCATATCTTCCCAGCTATCCATAAAGATATCTACTAAGATTGAGGATATTGGTGATGCGATCGCCACATCCTCCTGTTTGTCTGAGTACCCTGGAATTTAAAGATAGTAGATGTGAGGCGTAACTGAATTCCTAAAATGATCTCCTCAGTGGGCAACTTCATCCTATCAGTATGTCACGGATCTGCAGTTAGTTTTTTTAATAACTACTTTTAAGGCCATACTGATAGGTATATTAATATAAAGCCTAGTTGTATCAAAACTGACCATTTTTTTCATTATTCTCTAACTGAATGTCATTTAATTTCTTCTTCATTTCATATGAATTGGTTAACCCAAAGTTTGAACGATTTGTAATGGGAGATAATATTAGTGCTGCATGTTTTGATAATTGGTAAGTAAGGGGTATTTCTAAAGTAAACTATTGATCTTATAGGGCAACCTGGCTTATGTATTTTAATAGTACCAATATCATACAGTCCACTGGTATTAACAGTTTTAGTCATTAAATTAAACCATTTAGACTCACCTAGTGACGAATTGGCTCTGCGAAATAAATCTGCTGTAGAGTTCTTAATCTTATTTATTATTGTATCTACAAGCTTCTTAATTTCTTCATGTACACCCGTTGCAATATATTCACTGACTTTCTTGATATAGTCGGATTTTTCCATATCATCAAGTACTGGTTTGTAGGGATTTTGTTTGATTGGTTGGAGGATTTCATCGTGAGCTGACATCAGTTAGAGAACCATTGGAAAATGTGGGAGTACTGGATATCTGTTTCGACCATTACTGCTGTCAAGTTTCTTTTATCGGCCTTTACAATAACCTGTTTTAGATTCAATAGAACTAGTATTTCCGAGTTTGTTAAGTTTGACTGTGCTTTCTTTTGGTGTTTTAGAGTTAATGCATATTGTGCTCACATTTTTTTGCTGTTATATATTCTACAGAACTTAATGCTCCTTCTGTCTTGGAAACGACATCTTCTGGTTTCAGTTCATTAACTTTTACTTTGAAATTTAATCTTTTCTCAAGTGCTGTTATCTTGGTAGAGCATAATTCTCTTGACAACAGGTTGAGCACCCAATTTGTTCTATCAGTAGAAGATGAACCATTGTTGTCGGCTTCTTTATTTACTCTATTGTTCCTTTTTCTATCGATTTGTTGAATTTCTTAATTTGCGTGTCTCGTGTTTCTTTTAAGGCTACTTCCCTAGCTTTTTTGGTTGTTTCAGCTACGATTTCGTAATCTCTGTCATTTATCATACGTTTGAGTTTTTCCATGTCATTTCGTATATTTTTTAGTTTCACAATCATCTCAAAGTTCTTCTCGTAGACATAGTTTTCTGACTTTCAACTGCTGATGTTATTTTGCATAGGTATTAAGGAATTATGTGGGTTTTCAAACATCGACTATTAAAATACGGTGATTTGTGAATTTTGCCTCAAATGATTTTGTCAAACTGAAGCAACATTGCCGCATCTACATTTTTATCGTATAGGGAAGGGAAATCTAAAACTCTATGTGGGCTTCTTAATAGAGCGGGAATTAGAGTAGCATTTAAACCTATAAACTAACACAGGGACAAGCTCAGTAGGTTAAAGGACCCCATTGACCTAAGTAGACTAAATAATGTCATTTACAAAGAAGTACTCTGCAGTGACTGTGAAGTCAACCGCATAGGTCAAACCAGTAGGTGGGGGATAATCATATTACCGTAACATAAGAATTGACCTAGGCCTGGTATTATTGCGCCCATCTCACCCCCTCCCCAGAAGAGAATTCATTGAGACAAATCTCAGGAATTCGATTGGATGCATGAACACAGAAGGTTAGAATATATGGTATAGCGTAACGATGGTAAAAGGTAATTTGGTTAGATGTAGCGGTTGATTGGTGTATCTTCGTGGATCGAAGGCATACAGAAGACATGCAAAGGGAGCCACTCATTACTGGCACCAAAGGTATGGTAAATATTACTTCCAATCAAATAGAGAGATGAGGGATAATGGAATTATATAAACGAAGTCAGATAGTGGTATGAGTACTCTGACATGATAACCAGCAATAAATTGTAATCTAAACGTCATCAATAGATAATACTGTATAACGCAGTGAGACCATCAAATAGATCGACTCTATGATGAAATGACGCCCCTATACATTTTTCTAGTGATCCAATGTAAATGAAAGTCAGAAAAATATTAACATTACATACGTATACTGTTTTCATACAAATATGCATCATAGAAAACTAAGAACTCGTTCCATTTTCGCACACCTCACGATGAAAGAGTAAACTTACCTTAGTTACGCACTGAGCTACCTCGTCAGCTAAATGCCCAATTGTCAATGGTTTTTGCAAACGTGCGCAAATAATTTCTATTTCTGGCACATTGAATATATGAAATCGGATCCATGCCAACCGTAAGTGAGGTGATCCTACAGTAGACAAACTTGAAAATCGATCCACGCCATTTGAAAGGTTATTCTCATCTAGATACATCCAATGGTATAGTTGATAATGCAATGGTACTAGGAATGTATTAATAGGCTGTAAATCCGACACACTAACGGAACTGGGCTGCAGGTAAACAAAGCGAAGAATATATCACAAAGTTAAATATATTTTACGTGTGATGAACGAATAAACGTCAACTTAGTGCAACGCAGCGGATTTCATTCCTTCACTGCATTTTAAATGAAGGTAGAAAGAAGTTAATCAACATCGGTTAGCCTATGATGATAAAACGAAAACATGACAAAAATTTCCTGAAATTCTACCAAGAATGGATGAATAATACAAGTTATCAGCAAGACTGATGAACAGTACGTGAAATGAGAAAAACAGCGTCAACAAAAACCGCAGTCTAATGGACTGCTAGATTTTTCCGAAAAAACATTCTATTTAAATACACAGAAACTGACTTACTCAAGTGGTGCGTCGGTGGCACAGTGATTAGGACTCTTGCCGACCATGCACATGGTCCGGGGTTCGACCCCTTGCCGACACACACCTGATGTCTATGGTCGGCCTGTGAAATTTGGGCTACCGATATCCATGCTGAAAATTCCATACTTGTACCAAAAATACAGTGTGGAGTCAAGCTGTAATCAAAAATAAAATAAAATACTGTTCGATTTCTAAGCTGGAAATCCTAAGATACGAAAGACAATAGTCAAGATCTCTCACGAGACGCGTCATTGGTTTCCTAGTCTCCGTTTTCACCTATTTCCACTTTCTGCTTCAGTAGTTGTCAATAAAGACCGATGAATGATTACTATTTAATTAACACTAAGATAATGAAGTTTAATTAAATACAGAAAGTGGAAGTCAAAATAATATAAATACATACTAATTATCTAAGGATATGAGATTAACCAAGAATAAAGATAACGATATCTATGAAGATAAGTTTATCTTGGCAAGGTTTCTCTGTTCACTATGACACTTCTTAAAAAGTTATTTGGATACATTCATTAAAACAGGCTAACAAGACGGTGTCTGCAACAAGCCTATGAAACTATGCTGTAATAGAATTCATATATAACCACTTGCATTTTTTTCATATAATCGACACTTAGCTGTTCTGTATATCAGGCTCATTCAAAGTAAATTACAATCGCTAAGCAAAACATGTGGTTTGAGTATCTGGTTGTCTTAAGTTGAAACAGCGGACTGTAAACTATTACTTGACAAAAGTTATGAACCGAGCAATAAGTCAGAATTCCTTTAAAAAAAGGGGACGGAAATTTGAATAGATTTTGATTACTTCTAATACTAATAATAATGATCTGCTTTATTACCTTACGTGCTACATGAAACAGATATGTGAAGAATTACTATACGTTAAAGTTTATTGCCATAGTTAAAAACTTACGTAATTAGGAGAGGTAACTGAACCACTAAATGAAGCACTTGATAAGAATGAATCAAAGACTTTGAACCATTTAATGTGAATCGAAGAGGCGACATTTTGATCCCTGGTGACTGAGCTGTCAATATTACCTGTGTGGTCGGAACAAATATGTTCCATTACTGTTGACTGGTTGTCACTCTGGATTTCAATTGATAAATCAGAGCCAGTCTTCAAACCGTTAATTAACTGGCGATATTTCGAATCTGTTAGAGTAATGTATACACCATCTTCAACAATTACAGCACTACAACATGAAGCACGACCAGAGAATGCTACAAAACTCACACCAGTAACCTGTGAATTAATAAAAAAACAACTAGTTACCGGAATATTGTAATACACTGATTTAGAGTATCATTCAAAAACTATTCAAAAAGTATGCATACAATTTTGCATGTAAAGTTAATTTAGAAATGTCACTTGAATTAATATATTGATATTAAAAAGTGTTTGGATTACCAGTATTCAGACGGACATTTAGACGAACAAAGAGAGAACGACAAATATCCCAAAGTTGTATATGAACTCATATTTTATTATTTCGAGGATTCTACTTGACTGGTTACACCTTGAACCACACAAAAAATATAATTTATATTTAAGATTTGAAGAGACTTTTCTTGTAATGACAAGCAGTAGATGGTGGTAACTAAAAGTAGTATAAGTTCGGAAAAAAGTAAACTGGCAAATTATCAAGAGTTAAAAGGATTGACTATTTTATAAGATGATTGGAACAATACTCTTGAAAATAAAGTTTATTTTTTTGGAAGGTAGGAACAAAGTTTAACTAGAAGGAGTATAACAATATAACAGGTTAATTAATTACAAAAAAGATCTCGCCTGGTTTGCTAGTCGATCCTAAGCTCGCAAAAAGACGGAAGGTTGGGGTGTGGGATTAGTGACCCTACCCGAGAAAATCAATCCAGATGAAACGGAAACCTCAAAGCACAAGACAAATACAAAAGGTAAATTTATTTCCCGCTGGAATCGGAGAGACGAAATGATTTGGATTGGTGAAAGCCTTCGAGTAGCCAGTCAGCCAGTCCGTGTCTTTTTTCGATAATGTACGTACAATGTACACAGCTGGAAAATCTGTCAAAGAAATGAGAAAATAAAGCTTAGAAGTGGTAGGAATCTGTGATAGCAGATATAAATGGATGTCGACTATCCTAATTGTTAACTGGAGAGTCAGAAATCAACTCCCGTCATTCAGACGATAACCACGAGCACACTGAGGAAGTGGCTGTCATGATGTCACCGACAGCAAACAAAGCTATTTTGCAGTGGGGATGAATCTTATCTAAGTTCAATTCAAAAGGTAGGAAAGTTACAACCAATCAATGCTATGAGCCTTAAAAAATGGAAAACAAGAGAAGAAGAAGAAGGAAGATTTATAAAGAAAACTACAAACAGTAATTGATAATATCCCAAATGGTGACATTTAAATCCCAATGGGTGATACGAATCCTATACTAAGAGCAGACAACACTAGAAGAGAATTCATTATGGGTGAGAAGGCTCTCGGGAAAATAAATCAGAAAGACAAGCTCTTCAGAGACCTCTGAGTATTCAATGATTTGGAGATTGGAGATAGCGTGTACGAGCAAAAAGACATACACAAAATGACATGGGTTACACTAGAAGGGTATACCAACATTCAATTTAGTCTCAAGAAGGTGAAGACGCAGTCTCCTAAACAAGCAGTCGAAAAGGGGAGCAGGTGTGGACCAAGACCATCATCTAATTCAAGGAACCTTCAGTGTCAAGCTGAAAGCTTTCAAAATAACTGGAGACAGACCACAATCAAAATTTAACACTCAGAAACTGAAAGACGCAACTACAAAAGATACTTCCACTGCAGCCATTAGAGCAAAGTCGGAGACGCTACGTAGCATCACTGAGTAAACCTGTGTGGAAGAACGTTGGCACTCTCTGAAGTTGGTGTTCAAGGGAACGTGTGCAGCCGTTTTTAGAAAGAAAGGAGAGGCAGGACAACGGACATCTCGGGGCTAGTAAAGGAGAGGAGGATGAGTTCAGTGTACATCTCACCGGATCAAGAAGTAAAGACGAGTGCCAGGAAAGACAAAAGATATTGTATTATATAACAGGTCCCTATCTGGGAAGAGATCAATGCAGGTGAAACCTATGAGAGATGCTCGAGGGAACATAATTACTAAGGAGGAGAAACAAATAAAACAATGGGCTGATCACATCAAAGAACTCTTGAATCACCTGTCACTTTCGACTCGTCCACAAATACCACATAACCACCAGTGGACATCAATCCTCCAACGAAAGCAGAAATCTTGAACGCAATGAATCAATTGAAGTCCGGGAAGGCAGAAGGACGAGACGGAATTTCCTCTGAGGCACCGAAAACGGACCCAGAGACTGAGGCAGATATGCTGACTCCAATATTGCACAAGGTTTGAAAGGATGAAAACGTGCCTACTGATTAAAAAACGGCTATTCTGTCTCTGCAAGAAGTGGAATCGAATCATTTTCTTATCCACGCCAAGTAGAATAATAAGTCACGCCATCCTGGAAAGAATGAAAGATGCACTGGATGCAGAACTCCGCCAACCGGAACAAGCTAGATTCAGGAAAGGTAAATCATGTGTTGATCAAATTGCAACTTTACACATCATCATAGTGGAATAAATCATAGAATGGCACTCAAACATGTACCTTAACTTCACCAACTTCGAAAACGTCTTCACCAGACTAAGAAGTAATTTGGTAACTGCTTCGACACAATGGCATGCAGTTCAAGCCTTTATCAACCTCATTCAACAGCTATATGACAACAGCACGTGTCAATTGATCCACAGGGAAACCTTTGAAGTGAACACCGATGATATATCTAATTTTGGCGGACTGGATTGTGCATCAGACTGTGGGGAACTAGGAAAGAGGAGTACGTTGAACAGATAAAACTCTAGAAGATCCGGACTTAGCACACGATTTACGTCAAGCGTCACACGAACTCAAAGACCTACAGGCGAAAACGAAGAAATCGACAGAAAAAGCAGGCAGCAAAGAAAGGACTTCAAGTGAATATAGAGAAGATGGAACTGCTGACGATAACCGACCAACAACAACCAGTACCAATCACTACCAACGGAATAAATTTCAAAGCAACAACTCCCTTCACTTATCTAGGGAGCATCGTTTCAATTTCAGGTACATCGCATAGATGAGTATGTCAAAACGAGGACCGGAAAGGCAAGGTAGGCGTCCATCACTATGAAATCAGTCTAGAAATCTCCTTCACTCAGCATAAACAAAATTCGGATTTTTAACACCCATGTCAAGTCAGTTCTTCTAAATGGGTCACGGGAAGCATTTCCAACATAGTGCAGACTTCTACTAACGGCTGCCTTCTTTGTCTGTATATTGAAGACCAAATGGACAGAAAGACTTAGCAACAAGAAACTGGGAACAAACTGACCAAGAACCTATCGTTCAACATATATGTGGGACAAAATGGAGATGGATTAGACACACGCTGAGGAGACCATCGAATGACATCGTGCGTAAGGCCATTGTTTGAGTGGAACCCGAATGGGAAATGAGTGGAGCGTATGACGGTAACGTGGAGAAAATCGTGTGAGATGACAGCCTGTGGATAATAGTGGAACCATCTAAAGAAGATCGCAGATAAAAGGACAAGGAATTTTCTAAATGGGAGAGAAGATATAGAAAAATAAAACTTTAAACCTTGTTATGTTAGTTTAAATACCAAGGTAGTGCAAGATTCACCACTGTCTCTTTCCACGTACATAGAGTGGGTTTCAATCGTTTGATGGAGATTGCCTCAGCAAAACGTTGATTGTTCTGAATGCCTTTACATTGTTCACAATAAGACCAGTGTTCAAAAGATGGAGCGCAATGGCACAGTTTAATTCCCGTGAGCCCTTTAGTTTCAGGTTCATCCATATGTGTTCAGAAATGTGGACAACAACCCTTTTCTCTGTTCTCCCAATGTATATGCTTTGGTATATGTAAGTTGGTAGACACAGTTGGAGATATCATGAGGTAGAAGTTTGTCCATGGTTACATCCTCGATCATTTATGCTGACAGTGAACATCTACCTAAATCTTCTTAAATAAATTCTTTCACATCACAACTTCGAGAAACAAAATAAAAGTGTAGGATATGACAGAACTGCATATATGTTGGGATTCGATGATACAACTGAAAATAACCACATGAAAGTCTTTTATACTAGATTATGTGAAACTAATGGATATATGTAATTGCAAAGATTAGTATCATCTTACATTTTAAACTATTGGGCTTCTAATGTGAGACTTATTGTACCCCCCCCCCTTAGACAACAATTAACACTGAGACAAAAGCAGATTTAAGATATTCATTCCATTTGGTCAAGACTTACATCATCTTAAAATGTCAATACGAATAGACTGAAGTCCTATAACCGTGTATAGTAAATCTGAACGAACTCCCTCCGCCTATATTTATGAGGAGAGCACTAAAATATTCAGAAGTGTTGTGAACCAATAGACAAAGTTGATCCTAAGTGTGTCTACCGAAAGCCACTAATCAAGTATTCAATACAATCATTAGGATAAACAACATAATACTACTGAGAGTTGTACGTTGGTATTTGATTTTAGGAGTTGACGCGCGAAAACCGTGTCTATTGACCACCTCGCAGTAAAACGTATCCACAACCAAAGGGAACCTCATGTTTCCCAATTAATAATAAATAAAAAAATTTTTTCCTTCACGTTCCCAGTGGAACATAGGGCTCCAAGCTAGTGGCTTGAAGTTTCTGTAGCAGTGTTTAATTTTTACAGGATGGGGTTGCTAGCCTCATGCCCAACCTTTCCTCTTTACCAGCATTGTTTCTGGCTCAGTGAGGTAAAGGAGTGCGCCGGCCGGGGGTCGAACCCCGGACCATGTGGATGGTCGGCGAGCGTCCTAACCGCTATACCACCGATGCAATTGACTCACTAAAATGCCTTCGTGTTGGGCAGGACTTCCCGTCAACTGACTCATCTTAACAAACAATATCAAATATACTTTTGAAAAGTTAAACAACCGCAATGCTAACCTACAAACTTAGTCATCAATAGTTATCTAATGATGATTTGAGTGTATAGTGTTGGGGAGTTAACTCATTTTTTATAAGAATCAGTATAGCGTAGTAGTACTACTGCTACACAAGACATGACTTTGAAAAGATGGAAAAATGGTGAAATGAATAAACACAGTATGACAAGATATAAATATCATGTTAAATCAAGTCACCACTTTTAAGGATACTAACAATGACACCACAACAAATATATTCTGCATATTAAGATTTTTCTGTCTGGATTCAACATAGAACTTGGCACCGAAGTGCAGCAGTTCCAGTTGCCACGTTCCAAATAGCAAACAAAGGTAGACAAGAAGATGAGTGAAGAGAATCAATAGAGTTTGACAAGTATAAGAGTGAAACAGAATGGGTAATGGTAGAAAGAAATATGAAAGATTACAGAGACTGAATACATCTGCACCACTGACAACGATTTTGAGCCATGTCACCTATTGTCTCCAGCCATTGATTCCTAGAGTCCCGAGGGCCCCAACCCGGAAGTCTGCATTATCTCCCTACCTGACTCAGTTTAACTGTCAAGGATTTCATGGATTGATGAGGCCATGTCTTTGTTTGGCCACCACTGGCTCTTTTCCAACCTGCACCTATATCAGCTAGTAATGCCCGTCGGGGGAGGCGATGGTTAGGCATGCGCACCACCTGATCTAGCCATCTCAATCTATGTAACTTTATAGCCTCGTCGATTGATTTTCCCTCTTTGCCCAACACTCTACGCCTAACGTCAACATTACTTACCTTATTAAACCACCTAACGTGAGACAGAGATCGCAGACATCTATGATCGAAAGCAGTCAACCTTTTCATGTCTTCAACTCGTATTGGCCATGTTTCAGAGCCATAGAGAAGGACGGAGTGAACTGATGAGCAGTACACACGTCCCTTGGTTGATAGCCGGGTATCGCGCCTACGCCAGACATCGTGTAAGTCAGCGAAAGCAGCTCGAGCTTTTTGGATCCGTGCTGAGATTTCGTCGCCAATCAGTCCGTTGGTAGCTGATACAACTTTCCAAATAGGTGAAGTGGTCAACATGTTCTATCACTTCACTCCCCAACATTAAGCTGGGAGTTGACGTAGTCCAGTCCTGTAGCAGCATCTTACATTTTGCAGGGGCGAATCGCATGCCAAACATACGAAAACGAAAAGATTTTTCACGTCTAGATGAGAATAGAGCGTGAATAAATTTGGGACACTGAGATCAACTTTATCTCATATCAATCAGAAAATGTTATAAGATTTCAAAAGCAAATTGATAATAAACTCAATGCAACTAATAAGTATTATACCTTTGGTTTTGTATTTTCAATTGATATAGCACCTGTGTCGAAACTTTTGGAACAGTCTGAATCGATGAAGTAGTTTAAACTGGAGGCTGTTTTTTCATTAGCATTATCGTTTGACGAATCCAAATCGGTGTGACTTTTCATAGACATTGTATAATTTTTTTGTGATTGCGAACATACCAAGTGGGAATCAGATAAAGGGTTACAGTCAGCCGACAGTGCAAAAGTCATCGATTCCATGAGAACAGTGTCCAGAAACCTCATCAAAACAGCACGTGAAGATAAAGGAACCTGAAAAATATAATAATAAAATTAACTGAAAAAATATAATGCAGTACAAATACAGTGACTAATTTAAAAGAGATAAAATGATAAGAACAACAGAAACCAGGAAACACTAGAAATTAAAGGCGAAACAACGTGAGCCCAAGGTCTCATGAAAAATGAACCCGTCGAAAATTTCAGAATTGTCTACCACTGAAATTACACACAGTGGAGGTACAACAGAACACAAACAATTTACACACTACTTCAAGTTGCATTTCTCTTAGACGTCTTCCTTTTTTCATCTCGCGATTGTTTCATTGATGACTGATTTCCTTCCTCTCAGTTATTCGTTCATGACGTTTTACGAAGACACCACACCGTATTCTATTTAAAAATAGTTATCAGAAGGAAACATCACATCTTTAGTGGTCTTCATAACTACACTAAATAGTATGTTGAATGTAAATTTTGATCAGAACAAGACAAACGGTAAAATTTGCTTCCAGTATAGAGCAGCTGATCACAGTGCTATACATAACGAATATTGTATTTTTAGTCTAAAATAGCCACCTGGCTGTTAAGAATTGAGATATGACTATATGGCAGTCATGCGAAGTGATAATTAGTTACTTCACTGAGGGTTATATAACATAAATAATCTCCACCAATCAGAGGTGTGCACACTACAGTCTCAAAAATACTTTGTCATCTGAAAAATTTAGCAGTAAAGCCTTTAACTTCAAGTGTAAATGACACAGGTACAAATCAGTGAAGGTAAGTAACCCTCCCTAAACTCAAAAGAATACAACTTTTCTATAATTAGTGAAGGACACGAAAAACACGTTCAGAGTATCCTACTGATCGAATTAAAATATGACAGCAAAAAATAGACGTCAAACCGGAGGCGTCAAATTCTAAGACTTACCAAGAGCTCTAGAATTACTTCTTCTGTAATATTAGAACTCTTAGTATCTCCACTGCTCCGGTCATCTTTGATCATATTCAAATGCGCAAAGAATCCATTTATATGAAGCAATAATTCCGGCATTAGCACAGGTTTCTGCTTCGGTAAAGTTGTCATAAAATCTGGATAAATGAACGGTGTTATATTAGTGAACAGTTGTAGAAAACTTGCTCCATCCACTTTACAATTAAATAGGATCTCACGATCACGGTCAGATAACAAGGTAGTTGGATAATAATGTGATACTTTGCCAAGATTTAATAAGATTCTACTGGGTAACCGATATGCCCAAGGTGCCTCTTGGATATGCACTAGTAGAGCTATTAAAAAAGGTGGGTCCGGTATATGTAATCCTAATAAGCATTGATGAGTTGGATGGAAAAATACAAATCCATAAGGGTTGTTGTTGCAGTCATCAATATTGGACGATATTTTAGAAAACGGTCGACCGTTATTATTCACATTGAATGAAGTCGTTTCTGTTGAGTTAGAACAACGACCATTGGCGAAATAAAGCTTCTCAAAGAAGCAGTCATGTGAACGAAATGGAGCCGAACCAAAAGGCTTGTTGTAGGTTGCAGAACTAAATAATTCTGTAAGAAAAAGATGAAAATAGGCAGACAACTGTAATAATTGAGATAGCTAACTAGGCGAAATGCTGAATACAAGAGGCAAAAAAGTTCAAAGTATCCAGTGCGTTAGAAAGCCAAGTTTCGAACAAATCATTGTGTTTAGTAACTGACTGTCTGTGTCTTCGAATAACAGAAATTCACTTTTGAAAACTTTTGTTTTTTAGGGAGATCTGGTAAAAATGTTCTAAAAACGGAAATTTTTCAAATACTGCATACAGGTATTAACAGCGCCTTCCCTTTATTCAATACTTTACACTACTATGCAGGAATTAAAACCAACACCGAGTTTAAATAAGGCAAAGAGATTTATAGTGAGGTAAATCAAGTGAAAAAAGAGTATACGCAATTAAATTAGTTCTTCATTGAAACAGTTTATGATTTAAATAATTAGGTCACAAAGCACAGATTTTACACCACGAGATATACGTGTTTATTTATGAATAGGAAAAACAAAGAGTTATTCAACAAAGAAATATATGTTCTCAATAACTTCGGCTTCAAGCTTAAATTTTATTCTCTATTCCTATTGATGAGTAACACCTGAAAATGTGACATCTGAAAAAATATCATAGAATTAAGCCACAATTACCCTACCTATATGTATATATAGGGCTTTTTGGAAAGCACTATTGCATTTAAATGAAGAAATACTCCATTACAACATGACACTTACCAAAACTGACATCACTTTTAATTTCTTTCTCAGCGCGACTCAATAGGGCTTGGTAGATAAGCCAATATTGGTAAAATATATCGAGTGGTGGCAATCTCTCATTGGGACGTCTACGTAACAAAATTACAATTTCCTCTTGTCCATATTGATAAAATCCTCTCGATGCAAAACACCAGGCTGATAGTTTTAAGCAACATTTCAAATCAGTTGGATGAACATGTATGTGCAAATTTCGAGTGAGAGCTAATGTTATACCGGGTGGTATGCTATTCAACTGAAGAGAAAAAAAAGAGAAATTTTTAATATTCTTCTTATAGGTCTAAAACTAGTGAATATACCAGGATTTCACAAAAATCTTAACATCTGATATGTTATCAACGAAGATAATGTTCAGTTTCGGATTGATGAATACGCATGACTTAGATGGCACATGAAAAAGAATGATGAAGAAAGTGTATATTACAAAAAAGCAACAATCTATCCTACAGATATAGTGGATACATCTAGAAACACGACCAACTATTGAAAGCTAGGATGACGGCGCATAGTTGGAGTGTCCTAAGCACTTCTAGATTTTATCTTTCTGAACAGAGATTCATTATGAGTAGACGCAAAAAGGTTTGGTTACAGGGCCTAAATATCCCAGTCAGTATTTCGATGAGCAGATAAATCAGGGAAAAATATAAAAGTGACTAAATTAAGATTCTCAAGAATCTATTGAGCAGCTTAAAAGAGTCTATTAGCAGAAAATAATAACGAAGACGGTAATCGCAATAAAAATAAGAGCCAGTTTAAGACCTCTATAGTGTTAATAAGAGGGAACGCCCTTAGCCCTACATAGAGTGGCATTTTAACCTTCGAAACCAGTCAGAGGCAAATTCTGCTGGCTAAATGATTTTACTATAGCTCGATTATTATTGTCAATTTGAAAGTACTACATTTTTCATTCGTAGGCTTGAAAAACTCTCGAATTTCCTAGCCAAATCTCGAGAAATTTCAAATGTTGATTTCTTATTGTGTAAAAATAAGTGGAAAATTAACTGCAATTTATTTATTCTTGGAGCAAAACAAGAATTATCAACCGCATTATAACTCAGCATACATAGGTGTACAGTGAAACTAATACTTGAAAGTCAGTAGCGAATTCTGTGAACCAGCTTTAAACAATAAAATGATAGCTAAGTAATCATGTGACGTAATCAAAACAGTGTCCTATGAGATTCCTCGTCAAAAAAAGTGAAAATGTTCCTTGTAAAAGACGTTGCAAGCTTAAAACATGACGGGAAATAAAACTACAATACCTGAGTAGGGCATTCTGACTTTGTCACCGGTACCATGGGCACATCTGAATCCACTGGATGTGAGATATCGTGGGCGAAATCAATATGTGACTGACTAGCATCCTTATCACAGGCAGATTTGTTTTCAAGAAGTGATACCAGAAGTCCAACAGGAGGATTATATTGAAGGACTAATTCTAAAATGAGAGTAGACATAATGTTCAGTAGAATAAATTATGTTTAATGAGAACTAAAAAAAAAAATAATTAGGCATTTTTCGACAACAATGAATAACAACAACAGAGTCTAATTTCTCACCATAGAATATTTTCATTTGATAACACAAATACACAGTGATACAATATTATTTCCGATTACGTGTTTTTCATTAAATAAAATCGTTCTACAACAGAAAATCATTTCCTATCTTTATATCACTGAGCCCAATTTTCCTTTTTTTCAATTAAACTATAAGAGTATAACGTAAATAATTGAAGTGAAATGTATCCACAGTCACAAATTAGAAACTCATCTGACGAATATAAATTATTCTTAACACTGTACACTAAAAAGAAACAATGAAACTGTCATCGTAGTCATTTTTAGTAAACCACTGCTGGAAAACAGAACTCATCCAGTAAAACCCAACAGGTGAAGTTCAAACTGCTGAGATGAAACAAGCAAAAATTCAGCAAGTACACAGAAAAAGAAAAATCAACCCATTTTAAGAGCAGAGAAGAATATCAGCTGTTGAAAACAGTTCTCTCAATGTCCAACACAATAACAGAAAAAAGATTAGACATAATTAAGCATGAACATATTCAAATCATGAGAATTTCTTATCCCTTTACATGAAAGTTCAGGAACTTCACTTCCTACTAAATAAGAACTAAGCGCAACGCGTAAGTTGATGTTGAAACGTCTGCCGAAAGTCCAATGCTTTGAGAGTGATATATTCTTCAGAACATCCACAACCTAAACTGCGAATAATCAACAACAATTCGAGTACTATGACAATACACAAAAATTACTTATAAAGAAACATGAGTATTGATATATTGCATTACAGCTTTGTTGACATTATTGAGTAATATTGTGACATTTACTAAATATTATTTTAAGTGATATTCAGACAATGGGTCAGTGTTACACCTGGACATTCATTCCATAACCAGCTGACCAAACACCGTGAGATTTCTTCTCCATATATAACAGAAATAATAACATCATCTGAAACAATATTGTCTCAAAAAAAACATGCTACAACGCTCCACGATGTTCTTTATGCATTTCCTTCAAAAAATTCATAGCGGCAGGTAGTAGCCGACTTGAAAATATGCGTGATTTTAGACTGCGATTCACGGACAGTTTGATGATTAAAATCACAAGAAATGAAGTAAATGCGGTGCATTCTGCTGAATAGAAAATTTCGATCGCCCACACAGGAGCCTATCCGCCATAGAAGGTAATTTCACACCCAGCTAACAGTCATATCTGGAGTGTGTGGGTACCAGAGATTTTGTTATGTGCTGTTTTTTGTAATCGAATTATGAAGTAATTTTCCTGAATTAGTATTAAGTCGAACTTACATCCAGAATTAGACAAGAACTAAGTGGCCTGTAGCAGCAATCTTGTACTGTTAGGATAAATGAGGTTCAGACACCTAGATTACGTAGGTATATTATGCGAATAATGTAAAACACACAATGGACTTAATTTTTATAGTTCTCAAATAAACTCAAACATCAACACATTAATAAACGTATATTTAGTTATTATCATATGGTTGGCTTGGGAATTACCAATAGAATTAGAATACAGATACACACATTAATAAACATACAATTTCTCATTGTCACATGAATGGGGAAAGTCAATAGAGTTAGCATACTGCATATTAATACATCACAAGTTACTGTATATAGAAAAGGTCAGTGTATAAAGCAGTATGACTCGTCGGTTTATGAATGAAATAGATATGTGATTACATATTTACAAATCAGCATTTGATATTACTTCAGCATCTAAGGCGAAATAAGTAGTCAGGCATAAAAATTAGGGCCAGTTGAAGGCATATCAGACATAAGTCGGTAAACCACATTTCATTTGGTAGCATAATCACAAAGGTAAGTGGGGTACACAAAATACAATAACTTCTTGACAAAACAAGGTTTTCCTACCTGGATGAATACTCACAACAAGAGGAGGCCATATTTCTTCTTCATTAGAAATAGTTTCGCTTTGTGTTGATTTCGCTAAAAGCTGTAGCTGTTCACTGCTAGGATAGTCTTCATTCACACAGGTCCTTGTTAGCAAAGGGTCAATGCGTAACTGATAACCTCTGTTTGCATTACTAATATCAATAGGTATGGTGAATCCATTGGTCGTGTTTTGTATAGTAGTGGGTGATATACTTTTCTCAGTTTCACAATCAATAGTTCCACTGAGCTTTCTGCTTGATTTTATTAGTACGTCATGAACGTCATGTAATTTATGTGAATCAAACACTGGACTTCCAATGGCTTCACCAAAATTTCGATTGGCAACAGCTGTCGAAATGAAAAATTAACAACAATGAGAATATACAAACTTAAGGAGAATTAAGAGAGGAAGGTTGTGTTCAAACTTCATATACAGGTGCTAAACACCTATTAGATTGATCAGAAAACGGTTATTTTCCATCAATGTACCGAAGTACACCTGCGAAAACATCATCAGGGAAACACATCCTCAGTTATTTTAAAAGCACAATGAATTATCTAGGAGTCACAATAAATTATAAATTAGAAGTCATGTCACACCATTGTTTTATCACAGTGTGGGGCTTCACAACACCTTGATATACGATTGTCATATTCACTCTATAATTTATACGCACTAATTGTTAAGTCAACAAACAGAAAATTGAATGTAAACAGCCAGTCATTTTCCACAAAATTACCTATTAAAAAAGGTTCAAAGGACTACCGCGTGTACCGGGTTTCTCTTATGAGGAATGACCTGCAAATCTCTGTTTCATACCTTTGTAATACCATAGAGAGGTCAATGAAGTCTTATCATGTATACAATTTGAGGGAATAACTTTGGATCATGTCTTTTTTTTTACCCTTTTTCTACGTTAAAACGACTAAGAAAGCATGAAAATAAGTCTGTCTGGTCTGTCTGGATTCAACATAGAACTTGGCACCGAAGTGCAGCAGTTCGAGTTGCCACGTTCCAAATAGCACACAGAGGTAGACAAGAAGATGAGTGGAGAGAATTAATAGAGTTTGACAAATATAAGAGTGAAACAGAATGGGTAATGGTAGAAAGGAATATGAAAGATTACAGAGATTGAATACATCTGCACCACTGACAACGATTTTGAGCCATGTCACCTATTGTCTCCAGCCATTGATTCCTAGAGTCCCGAGGGCCCCAACCCGGGAGTCTGCATCTCCCTACCTGACTCAGTTTAACTGTCAAGGATTTCATGGATTGATGAGGCCATGTCTTTGTTTGGCCACCACTGGCTCTTTTCCAACCTGCACCTATATCAGCTAACAATGCCCGTCGGGGGAGGCGGTGGTTAGGCATGCGCACCACGTGACCTAGCCATCGTAGTCTATGTAACTTTATAACCTCGTCGATTGATTTTCCCTCTTTGCCCAACACTCTACGCCTAGCGTCAACATTACTCACCTTATTAAACCACCTAACGTGAGACAGAGATCGCAGACATCTATGATCGAAAGCAGTCAACCTTTTCATGTCTTCAACGCGTATTGGCCATGTTTCAGAGCCATAGAGAAGGACGGAGCGAACTGATGAGCAGTACACACGTCCCTTGGTTGATAACCGGATGTCACGCCTACGCCAGAGATGGTGTAAGTCAGCGAAAGCAGCTCGAGCTTTTCGGATCCGTGCTGAGATTTCATCGCCAATCAGTCCGTTGGTGCTAATACAACTTCCCAAGTAGGTGAAGTGGTCAACATGTTCTATCACTTCACTCCCTATCACTAAGTTAGGAGTTGACGTGGTCCAGTCCTATAGCAGCATCTTACATTTTACAGGGGCGAATCGCATGCCAAACATACGAAGATTGCTGCTCAAGGTGTTCAGAAGACTCTGCATTTTGTCAGAATCCTCCCCTAACAGGACTATGTCATCTGCATATTCTAAGTCCATAAGACTATTCCCTGGTAACAAGTCGATTCCTAAGTCACTACGTTCAGTTAAGGATACTTCCATTAGCATATCTATGATGAAGTTAAACAGAAATGGGGAAAGTGGACATCCCTGTCGGACACCACTGGTTGTTACTAATTCAGATGACAATTCCCCATAAGCCCTTACACGACTACGTGAGTTTGAATAGAGTGCCTTGATTAGTGCGATGTACTTTCTTGGCACTCCCTTCACAGTCAGACATTGCCATAGTACCTTTCGATCCACGGAGTCGAAGGCCGCCTTCAAGTCAAGAAATATGACAATTTGGAATTGATAGTGTTCTCTGAGCTCCTTGGTTTAATTGCGGAGCTTTCATCGTCTTTCTGGACGACATCTTCATCCAGAAAGACGATGAAAGCTCCGCAATTAAACCAAGGAGCTCAGAGAACACTATCAATTCCAGATCATCCACCTGAGTTACAAATCTTTTCTATTATTTCAAAATATGACAATTGTTGGACGCCGAAAGGTGTGTCTATGTTCTAGAATCTGTCGAAGAGTGAAGATATGATCTATGCACCCTCTACCTGGTCTAAAGCCTGCTTGATTTTCCCTTGTCTGTTCCTCCCGAGTTCTGCTTAGTCTATGCATGATTACTGAGCCTAGGATTTTAGAGACTATGTTCGTTAGGCTGATCCCCCTATGATTATCACACGAGGACTTGTTTCCCTTCTTGAATATCGGTATAATGAGTGACTTACCCCAGTCTGATGGTACTGTCTCTGATTCCCAGACTTTGCCTAGTACCTCAGTTAATCTACAAACTAGTATGTCACCCCCATATTTAAACACCTCCGGAATAATTCCGTCGGGTCCTGCCGCTTTGCCTCGTTTCAAATTACTGATAGCTTTTGTAACCTCACCTACAGACGGCGGACCAGTGTCTATATCCCATTCGGGTACGTGGTGGATGGCGGGGAGGTTCAGTGTGGCTGTAGGCAAGTTAAATTGTTCCTCAAAGTGTTCTTTCCAGCGTTCAAGGCGTCTATCCTGAGAGCTAATTAAGGAGCCATTTTTCTCAGAAATAGTCTCACTTATGAATTGCCTTTTCCCGCCCGATTCTGTGATGAGTCTAAAGAGTTGCCTAGTGTTGCCTATCGCCGATGCTTTTTCCATCTCTTTCGCCTTTGTCACCCACCACTGTTCACGGTCTTTGCGGAGACTTTTAGTAAGTTTCCTTTTGTGCAGCTTTCGCTCCTCATTGAATTCGGAGCTCGCCGGAATAAGTCTTCTAGCATCTATCAGTTCGGATGAGGCAGTCGAAATCCAGTGGTTTTTACTCACCTTTGGATTTGTCTTATTCACAGCTTTTACAGCTGTATCTATAGCTGACTGAATATTCTTCCAGGCTTCTCCAGGGTGAGCACAGCTGTCGGATTCAGATATGCGTTTAGCTAGTTCTTCCTCAAATAGGGATTTAGTTTCCTGATCGAGCTGGGGGCGTAATGGTTTTACCGCCAGCTGTTTCCTACGTCCGTTCAGTCGTAAGCACACACGAGCCCGGACCAGTGCATGATCGGTATCTACACACGTGTTCCAGAAGGAGCGACAATCTCCTACCGACCCACGCCAACGATAGCTTATTGCTATGTGGTCTATTTGTGTCCAGCGTTGGTTTGATGATGGGGGTCGCCAGGTTAAACAGTGTCTCTCCTTGTGTTTAAAGTTAGTGCTTACAAGAAACAAATGATTATCTGAACAGAACTGTAGGAGACGGTCACCGTTGTCGGTTCGCTGGTACGGAACTCCATAGGTGCCACCGACATCCTTCTCAGATTGACACAATTTCCCTACTTGAGCGTTGAAGTCACCAGCTAGAACGACTATATCTGAGCGTTTAGCCTTTCTCACCAAACTAGACAGCTTTTGGTAGAACTCATCCTTCGTTTCATCCGAACTGCAGTCAGTGGGGGCGTAGGCGGAGATTACGAAAAGGCATCGGCGAGTAGTGCAGTCCTTTCTCCTTCTTACTGATCCGTTCAGACGGACAGCACACATTCGGCTATCTACTGGGATCCAGTCAAGCAATGTCTTTTCTGCCCTAGTACTCAGAGCTATCCCTACGCCAGCTAATCCCCGTGAACTAGCTGTGGCATCTCCTGACACCCTCAAGGTGAATTTTGAAGATTCATCCTGTTGGCCAGGTGGGGTTAGGTGAATAACCACACTTGGGTCTTGTATGCGTGTTTCTGAAACACAACATACATCAATGGCTCGAGAAAATAAGTACAAAAGCTCAGAACAAACTATAATGCCACTGAGCCGTGGATCCTTGTAACCTGGACCCAGACTTGCTGTGTTTTCATCCGGACAGCTTTCTGGCATAAAACGATTGACACAAGTTTCTAAACTTTAACCCTAAAATTGAAAGCAGAATCTTGGCTACTGTCGATATTCACAAAATCTAGAGGGGTAATTAAATTGCTGTAGCGATTAGTTTTTAAAACGCGAACTTCATACTTTCTAGCGTGTAATGAGACAAATACAAGAATGCCGGCTTTTCACAATGAATTTTTGTTACTTAAAACACATTCGTTTATAAAGATCCCAAGTTGGTACATCGCAACATCATATAAGCCTATTACATATACATAACTTGGTACCACCATAACCTGTTAACAGCATTCATAAAGTTGAATCATTACTATGGGACATGATAACAGACATCACAGGTAATATATAGCAAGGTTTCCCCGTGAACCACAAGGCGAAAACAGATTTTGTGGCTTAACAAGAGTTAAACAACAATATGGAAAAGCAGCGCTACGTACATAATCAGTCAGTAAACGTAATAACTGTTTTCAATAACTCTGCGGAAATCATATCTAATTTCAAACCTCCACCAAATTCTTGTATAGACATACTCGTAGTGCTACGCTGGTGTGTCTTCTTTCCATCATTAAGCCTGAACTCAAGCAACTCCCACTGCTATTAGTTACCACTGGGTAGAACACAGGATAGTTGGAAGCTGTTCTGGTTCATGGAGGCCGTCGGCAACAGAAAGTTTAGTGGCAGCGAGATGATCTTTGTGGTGGATAGCATGATGCTTGAAAATACACAAAAGTTGGAGAGGACACCTCGAAAATATTTCACTTGGTTTGTAGATGCATCGAAATCGTGCAAACACTTCATGAGTTCCTTCAATCACGTCACACATATCAAACCTAATAGTTACTTTGTTTCTTGATATTGGGACTGCAATCTATCCGTTATGCGGGACTGTTCATTAGGTTGGTCTTTTACACGGAGGTGCGTCAGAAAAGTGCATTAATTTTCTCGAAGCCCAATACAAAATCATCTCAGGTAGTGAGGGAATACAGCCACATATAACCACTGAACTCAACTAGGAGAAGGATTATAACGGGTTGGTCAGTTCCACCACTTCTTTCTTGACATTCTGAAAACCATATAATTCGATAACATACAGGTTACTGAAATCTCACTCAACTAGTTGATGGTGAATGTTAGTATGGAGGGTATGTGGTATGTAGTGTCTAAGGGCAAATACTGTTACAAACTTGCCAGGGGGCTAAAGTGCAATCATCCTTGAAGGTGAACCATTACAAACGGTGGCGAAATCCATGAATCTAATGAGTTATAGGTGCTCTAGTGATGTGCCGAAACTAAGAAGAGAAAGTCAGGTTATCATACACCAACCTCGGCTAACTTACGCTTTACCGAGACTTTAATGTGCTTGTGGAAGCTACAATTCAGAACACTTCAAGCATTCGAGTTTCGTCCTACATCTATGAAACCTAGACCCTACAAGGTCGACTCTATGCACGAATACAATATGCACCCAGTAGCACCAGTGTGAATAATTGTGAGATCCACTGGGATACGGTGGAGATCAACTTCTAACAAGTGACGACACTTCGGTACACCAACTTTGACAAGGTATATATCTACCACGAATGTTATCACCCAAGATTTTATGCCGTTCACTGTTTAAGATTGTTTTGCATTCTACTGTGAATAATGAAACTTTATTGATTAAAATTTTCAAATAACCAGTGGGTAGTATGTTCTAACTTGGAAGATCACAGCAGAAATCAAAGGAGATTATAACCTTCACAAAAGAATGTCAGTGCCTGTGTCAGATTTTAAGAGTTGAATGGAAGCTAAATAACAAGTGCTAAAATTCATCGCTAATGCATATCAACAACACAGCAGAAACTAATATTTTTTTCAAATTGTTTTTGTTTTGAGCCTAAGTTGGAAATACTAACACTAGTTTACTCACTCCACAACTGACTCCATAAATAGCTGGTCCACATTCTGTTAATACATTGTAACCGATGTACGTGTACATTTCCACGAGTAAGTTGAAATATGTGCCTCCTGGAAACTAATAAAGCACCATAGGAAACGCCTAGCTTACTGAAATGACATTTTCAATCAAAAGTTATGAGTAGACAGCTGCATTAATTTTCATTTAATGACCAAATAATAATAATGTTTGTTGTTCAACTCTCTTACCCAGTTAATTCAATTCGTTCTTTGATTCCAGTATTAAGGGCACTCATTAAACATAAGGTGGTATTTTATAAGTAAAAAAATAAAACGAAACTTTCATGACTGAAGAATCTTTACAAAACAAACAGTTCACTCGTGAAGCCAAATGTTGCATAGAACCATAGTCATATTAATAATAATATCACCGATTCCATAGAATGAAAGTGAAGCATTTATCCAAACTAGCCTTTCGCTACGACTTACAAATTCAAATACATCTCAAATGATGAAAAATATACAATTTAACTAACACGAAAATTGGTTCGGTGTGTCCCGAACCAGATACTTTCCTTCATGAGTATGTGTATTGAAAACGAAACTTACATTTATTTATTTGTCCACTGTCTTTGACGCATAAGTGAATAGGTCTGTTCCAAACTTTAGCACATGTACACCTTGTATTTTTACAACGAGAGTATAAATGACATCTGTGAACTAAGGATAAACTAGATAAAGTTTGATGCACACGCAGACCATGGTAAACAGGAATACATGAGCATTGATTGAAGATATTCTCTTGATGATCCCAACAAATAGAATATTTTGGGATGAAGAATCGTTTATGAATAATACGCCGTTTATTAAAACATGGGAAACTGCACAACTGAATGTTAGATGGCGACCACTTAATAAATTTTCTAGTGTTAGCGCGATAACAATGGGACAGTCGGCGATGTCTCACAAAGGAGTGACAGACTTGAAAACACCAATCATCTGAAAAACAAAAGTAAAGCTGGTTTTATACCTTTTACACAGACAGACCGTAGTCACTGACGTTCCAAAATATTGGATGAGGGAGAAATAGACCACAGGTCTGTGAAAAAAGATTGAACAAATGTACAAAATTTCTAACTGCTAGTCAGCAAAAATCCGTGCTTCTGCAGAGATCAGAAATACAACTAAAAAGTGACGTATGATAAGGGCAGAGACACAGATACTGCGTAATGTATAAGTAGGTCTTAAAAGGTGCACTATAATACCATTTCTATGTCTGGTCTGTGCCCAACTTTCAATCTAATTTGACTACCATACATGGGATTTTTATTTCTTCAAAATTTTGTCCACGTTTGCTCTATTATCATAGAAGCTATCTTTGTGCGGTCGTTACGTTACAAGTTTCTAAGAAATTTCATTAGGAATAAACAGTGAGACCTAATGAAAGACGACGCGACCAAACGAAACTAAAATTGAGCGATACGTTAAAGAAGCGAACGTTTTTTTAATTCCTTTTTATCAGGCTTAAGGTGCTAGATAACCATCACCTCAGGGGATTTCACGAAATGTTTTCAGAAAATCTGAGGTTATTTGATCAACAGGCTATTTATTGCTAGGTAAATTAGTCATCCATAGTATGGGTACCGTGGGTTGGTGGTTCAGTGGTAGGATGTTAGCCGGCCAAACAAGTGGTTTGGGTTCGATTCCCAGCTGAAGCACTCCTAAACATCGTCTATTTCAGTAGCCGGTAGTAATCTCAGAAAAGGAATGATACTAGCAACCCCCTGTTACTGACACTTAGAAGCGTGAAGCTGTATGTTCAACTTAGGACACAAAGAATGAAAAAGGTATGGGTACCAGTTGAAAATTTTGCAATCCGCATACACGAGGTATAAAACTACGCAAGAATGCTAATCAGTTTCATCAGTTTTTTTCAGCTTCTTTGTAATTCGCTTACCTGATGAATCTGTCAGACCTTTACGGGAGTTATCAACTTTATGTTTTGGTCATTTGTCTTAAACAAACAATTCTCACTATTTAAGGGTTACAACACTAAGTCTTGGTGTCATAGAAGAAAACTCTCGACCAAATATGGCTATTCACACCTTGTTTCGTGGATATGATAATATAAAGCCAAAGCCTACAAGGTGTGGTTTATCTTCTACATCCAATAAGGTGATGAATGCAACAAAAATATTTATTTTTTATTTTTTTTTTATTTTTATTTTTGATTACAGCTTGATTCCACACTGTATTTTTGGTACAAGTGTGGAATTTTCAGCGTGGATATCGGTAGCCCAAAATTCGCAGGCCAACCATAGATATCAGGTGTGCGTCGGCGTGGGCTCGAACCCCGGACCATGTGCATGGTCGGCGAGAGTCCTAACCACTGTGCCACCGACATCCTTAAAAGAATAATCTTAAACTTTTTGACAAGGGCATTCCTTGAGGTAGTGTTGTTCATTCAAATATTACTTTCTGATAACACAAACAATGAGATCTTGCTCTTGACTGACTCCATAAGTATACCACTTTACCAACTCCAATGGATCTACGTACATCGGTTGTTAGACGCAGGTTTCGCGTAAAAGGGTGCAGAAACACAACTCAATGTTTATGAAGGAGCAGATTTATGAGAAGGATCTAGTCGATAGTGGTCATTTTGCTTCTACAACTTCTTCCTTCAAAGTTATCTATGATGAAAAAAACAACCTTTCAAAATCAGTGTCCTCCTGGTCTGTTTCTAAGCCTATATCTATTGAAATATAGGAGCCAAAGATGTATATACGTCAGAGGTTTGTCCAACAACAGCTCTTGTGGTCTTAATCTCTTCGTTGAATTTAAAAATATCCTACACTTCTTACGTAATATCACCTCTTCTATGTCTACATACTCATTCAGATTTGTTCCTTAGGCATTTTGTCCCATGCCTCAACTCATTGATCATAATTGTTCACCCTTATTATACTTCCATTGATTTTGATCCTAGCAAGTTCGCATTTATTTGACGAGTTTCCATGTATTTCAGGTAAAAAAAATACTGGAAAAATTCATGAAACGATGCACATAATTGCGATTGTACAGTTGAAGTGTATTAAAAATAATCACTGAAAAAGCCTCTTCGCTAAGTTACATCTTCTTTCTAAACAAGTTACCAGAAATCTCTCCTTGCTAGCTTCCATAAAATTGTGAACCTTACACCGAAATAGGACTTAGCTCAATCTTAGTGTTCGTGCCGTATTTCTGCAAACATTAATTATATATGACGTGCGACGCTGGAATGCCTTTACTATCCATCTATTGAAGCCCTATATTCATAAATGACTGCTTTGCCAGACAAAACAATAAAGCACCTTAAGACAGTAGCTAGTACGTTGATGATATAAATATATGTAACTCACTTTTAAGATTTAACGATCCTACCATGTTTGGGCGGATAAGGCGACCACTCTTGACACTTAAAAGAGATGTATACTTAACTGTAGGTGTGATTCTTTTACTTTGTCCGGAAAAGAATGGACCACTGTGTTGATGAACATCAGGATGAAAATTCGAAGAACTACTTCCTTGTGAAGGTATTGGCAGGAAACTTGGTCTTTTTGTTGCACATGTGGACAGAGTGACGGGAGTAACTGGAGGAGGGCAGACGTCTGAACTTTGTAAGTAATTACATGCAGGTGAAACACTTGAGTATTTGGTATGCCTTTGATTCAAACTGTTTCCCCGACCTCCAAGTATTAAAGATGTAAAATTCAGCGTGTTTGGCCTATGTTTTTTTGGGGTCTCAACATGGCGTTTAGAATCTTTCTCGAACTTGTGAAGACCAGGTACACGTGAAAAGCCTACATCTTCCGACGGTGTGTTGCCTTTACTCATACTTCACTACGTGTGATATCACAATTTCTAAGTCGATGCCATCTGATGTATAAAGTGATCTCCCAACAAACTGTCCTGACAACAATGACTCACACTGAAAAATAAAAGCGTGTTGATTAGTCACAGTAATACTTATTGTGCATAAACAAACTCAGGCAGTTTAAGGATGTTTTTCAATAAAATTCCAAAAATACTATCTTTGTTTTGAAATTCCAGGAACTTGAGCTGATATGCTCAAGTTAAAATATAAAAAGGATCAGAAGGAACGACAGATACCTCCTCCATTGGAAATCCATATAAACAATTTAAACTTATACAAGTACTAGTGCGAAGTTATGCACTGTGCACCTCAATCGAAATGTTAGGCAACATTAATCCTAGACAGACTCAAAAGGAGTTACATAAAAGACATCATCCATAACAAGTTGAATTCAGAAGAAGCATGTCACCCTTGGGACAAATAGTAGTACTACACATTATCGAACAGAACACAGAATAGCAGCCTACCTCTTACCTCAACCCCATCAGCTTTGTAAAGCCCTTCGACAGTGTCTGTCGGAACAAACAATAATATCAAAAACTCGAAACCACCTCAACAGTGACGTTAGGCAACTATACAGGCAACGCAGTTTTCTAAGCACAAGACAAGCGCTGTACGACAAAATCACTTAACCAAGTTGGCGAAGTCAAATTTAAGGCATCATTAACTACCAACGGACCAATAATCTTGAACACAGGGGATTTGCAGGTATATATTTATGAAGAGATGGAATAAAAGGCATGAAACTGTTAAATAGGATGCCTTTCTCTGGCGCGTGACCAAAATGCTTCTCAGCGCTTTGAATTGGTGTCAACAGAATGATGATATCATATTCAAAACGTGTATTCGTCTACTTCTAACTGTCACTCTAACCCTAACACGAAACTATCATTAAACTAACACTAATCTAATTTGGACCAACCCTACTATCTTCCTTATTGGGTTAATTTAACCCTAAACTATTCCTAGACTAAACCTTGATTTATTTTTCTCCCATACCTAACAGGGACATATGCTTGAACTTATTTTACAGATGACTTCGCGATTTAAAATAGGAAAGGATCGTATGAACAACCAACTGGTTGTTTGTAAGTGGTCAAATTCACATTGACAGCTTAATAAATAAGGATAAAAAGGTCTTACGCGGTGAAAGTGAGATAATGGATAGAAAAAGCGTGTGAAGTACAGACGGTAGAATCATCAGATTGGCATCGGCCTATTCCTGAAATTACTCTCGAAAGTGAACCATTAATAGTAGTCAGAAAATTCGTGAATCTAGGTAATCGTGGTTACAGCGGTGTGATGAAAGTATATTACGAAAACTGGAACGACGCACAGCATAGTCTTCAAAGTTATGTCCTGCCACGATTTAAATATGGGCGTCAAAACTTCATCTCACAAAGTCTCAGACAGTACAGTATTACTCTACGTCCACGAAGCCAGGACCCTCCTAGTTCGAGTCTATGCACGATCATGAATCTCTTTGCAGAACAGCTTGGATGCAGTGGCACCAGTATTAATAACTCTTAGGTACGTTTCAACTAAGTGGCGATTTCGGGACACGAGCTTCGAATGTTATCACAGAACATCTCGTGCGATTCATTTCAACAGAGCAGAGAGGTTCCCAAAGTACGTTGTGGTGCTGTGACATGAAAGATAATTCTGTTTGGTTGGCACCTGTTGGTGCATTACAGCTACCTAGATGGAGCACGAAAGACTGTCTACCAGTCGCTCGAGACCTTATGAATTGTGAGCCAAAATAGTTGGTGAACATGATGCTAGTTCCCCCTCGACTATTCTTTGGAGTGAGATATGAACGGATTATCTCTCCTCTAAATGTCTTTGACAAGTATGTTTACATTTCTTTATTCCACTGTTGCTCGAGTATTTTATTTATCTTCTCCCTTCTTTACCATATGTAAGTTTTATAGATATCAAGCAGACAAAACTTATCCCGATTGCTTGAGATGCAACTGCTCCTCAGTCTGCAAAATCATGGATTTTCGCTCCCTTCAGTCTGGATAATAAGCCTCAAAACAACGGGCGGTGGAACCAGGTGCTCTCATTAATCAAGAACTTCGAAGTTGAAGATATTAGCGAATACATGGGCACACAAAAAATATTTTCAAAATATGAAGTATTGCGAAAGTGAAAAAAATCAAGGTGACCTGAGCGAGTTACCATCGTACTGGCAAAATGCAGTTGAAACCGACCAATTTAGTTGTCTGTTTCATATGGAAGGATTATTTAGAAGCTAGAACCAGGAACGAATTCTCAGGCATCCATAGAAACGCACACTCTTTTCTCAATTCTGAATACCCTGTATAATTCACAAGTCCCGAAAACTTCACAAAAGTTATTAAAGACAGTACACTTTTTTAAAAAGCTCTAGTTTTTCCCGTCTAAATAGCATATCCTAAAAAAACTCGACGAAGCTACAAACAAATGCAAGAAAAAATACCGCCAACACTGCCTACTGTTCCACGGTGATGTGGTCTAGTGATCCCCAGCTAGTGCACTTTCTACGTAAAATTACGGTGAGATCTTGCCCTAATTTTACGAAAATTCTGTAATTACAAAGAACTTAGTAACAGTACCTAGGAAATCTAGTCGCGCAAGAAAATGAACACAAATTATCCTAGAAATATTCACACCAGAGGCTAATTCGACCGACTTACCTTTCACAAACTAACCATATCTCCCACTGGACATCAAGGACTACCAAATGACCTTGTCAAAAATAGGTAGGAAAAACAATATATCAAGCATAAACACTGACATTATTTAAGGCGTATGTTGTTAAACGCTCAAAAATTACCGTTAGCCTTCAATACAGTATATGCAATAAAGAGTTCTGTAGTGTGCATTTTTTGCATGCAAACAACCCTGTATAGATTATTCAATTCGACTTCGTTTCTACATAGACGTTTTGTGCACAGTCTACGTTCATCTACTCTGAATTTCGTCTTTCTATTTCATTCCCCTTTAATGCAAGCTTCACATTCCAAACATCTTATCCTATGGGCAAAGGAGTTCTGTGTCATTTTAGGAAATAAGTATTTGACACTAACTAAACCCTCCTCTGTGCGTCGGTGGCACAGCGGTTAGGACGCTCGACGACCAGGCATATGGTCCGGGGTTCCATCCCTGGCCGACGACCTCCTTTACCTCACTAAGCCAAAAACAATGCTGGTAAAGTCGAAAGGTTGGGTATGAGGCTAGCAACCCCATCCTGTAAAAAAAAACTGCTACAGAAACTTAAAGTCACTAGCTTGAAGCCCTACATTCCACTGAGAACGTGAAGTAAAAATTAAATTAAATTCTCCTCTAAAGGTAAGCTTCACTTAAATCCCTCTTATTCTTTAGAGGAGGGTTTAATTTAATTTTTCCTTCACGTTCTCAGTGGAACAGAGGGCTTCAAGCTAGTGACTTGATGTAAGAAAAAGTAAGGATGGGTACCTGGTTTGTTCGTACAATGTACAAAACTGGAAAGGCTGTCCAGATAACCGCTGAAATGAGAAGGTACAGAATAGAAGTGTTGGAAATCTGCGAAAGCAGATGGAACGGAGCTGGAAGGTGCCAACTACCAACTAGAGAGACAACAATCGATTCCGATCACCCAGAAGACAACCACCAGCACACCGAGGGAGTGGCCATCATGATTTCACCAACAGCAGCCAAAGTTCTCATGCAGTGGGAACCAATCTCCTCCAGGATAATCACAGCCAGGTTCAACTCAAAAGGAAGGAAAGTTACAGTCATTCAATACTATGCGCCTACAAACGTCTCAGAACAAGAGAAGAAGGAGGCGTTCTACAAACAACTACAAGCAATAATGGACAACGTCCCAAATGGCGATGTCAAAATCCTGATGGGCGACATGAATGCGAAGCTGGGAGGAGACAACACAGGAAGAGAACTCACCATGGGTCGAGAGGCCCTCGGTGAAATGAACGACAATGGTGGACTCTTCTCAGACTTCTGCACCTTCAATGATTTGGTGATTGGCGGTAGTGTGTTCAAACACAAGGATATACACAAGACGACATAATAATAATAATAATGTATATTCTCATATAAACATATAAATTTACATGAAAATGCATGCCATTTTTACAGGCACGATCAAGTATGATATAATATCAAATCGTAGATTGTCTACAAGTTAATAATGTTTCAGCAGTTAAATATTTGATATATATATAAATACACATTGTCTGAACTAGGCAGTATAGTTATTGAATTGTACAGTTGGCCTACAGGTTGAGCGGGAAAATCGACTTCATTTCGTTTTCACCCCGTGGCTGTAGGCACACGATCACCAACCAATATTGAGGTAAGTACAGCTTTTACAAGGGATTGAAATATGTTTTAGAATTATTAAAGTGCTAAGGTGAATCATTAAATTGTAATGAAATAGGTAAGTGCAAGTATCATTAATAAATGCATTTGTAAAAGAAACTCCCTAGGCTGACAACGTTCATTTGCAATGTATAATGCAACACATATACCTCGTACTATCATGATGTCCACTTTTGGTTTTAATACATTTATCCTCAGTTGTGCCAGTTGTTTTTGTTTTATACCTTTTTGTGCATTTAATGTACAACCGTACCTTTCAGAGAGTAGGAATATAATAAGTCATAAAGAGCTGTAAAATGTTAGGTTTAATGGAATATAATGAGGATCAAGTAAAGACGTTATTGTAAAATGAATGAGATAAGACATTGTGAAGTGGTATTTAAAGATCAGTCAATGGACAGCAAGTTAGTTTATAAGATGCCCCATAAATCTGTGCACATCCCACATGGTCGCATCTCAACAATAGGCTGGGCGAATAGTATATATTTAGAGGTAGAAGCATGATCTGTCAAGGCGTTCATTATTATCTTTTTCAAGATAAAGATCTAAGCCCTCATAAAAATCAGAAATATCTCGAGCCTTTAATTTGTGTATTGCT